AAAAGCATACTAGTAATTTTATAATAAAAGATATTAAGAATATTACTGAACTAGAGAGATTAAAAGAAGAAAAAAAAAATAATAAAAAGAAAAAGAAAGAAAAATGGCCAAATAGCAGATTAATGAAGCAGCTATTATTACTTTTTAAGATTATTCTAACTTAACTAGAAGTAATTTTCTTAGCTAAATTATTTCATTTAATCTCATTCTTTTTAATTTTCTCAATGATAGAAAGCTTAGATCTTTTCTAAATAATTTAAATAACTGATTGATTCCTATGAATTGTATTTAGATCTATATTCTGTCTATCTAATTAAGTAAAAGATTTTTTCTTTTTTTAATTTTCTTTTTATAATAAAGTTAATCTTAAATTTATTATTATTAATTTTATTTTTATTATTTTTTAGATTTTTTATAGATTCTAATAATAAGATATAAAATATAAAGTATATTTTTATTCTTATTGATAGCTAGAGTTTATAATTATTATTAGTAAGCTTTTCTTTAATTTTAAAAAATTTATATTTAATTATGTTGAGTTTATTATTTAATTTCTTATTTAGAATATTAAAATTTTTCTATTTTATAGTTCATTATAAAAGATAAACTTTTTTTCTTTTTTTAAGGATTAGCGCGTCCTTATACTTTTTATTATAATAGATTTTTATTCTTTACTCTATCCATTTAATATCTTATGAAATTATCTAGTAGAATGTTTAAAAGTTCTTAGTTTATACTATTATAACTTTTAATAATTCTTTTCTTAATATATTAGACTATGTTATTTTAAGAAATCTTTTAAAATTCATAAAATATGATATTTATTTTGTAATTATATTTATTATATTATTTATTATAAATTGTGCTATTGATAATGTTTATATCTAATTATTTTGTTTTTAATCTATATAATTCTATAAGTACTATTTAATTAATTGGATTATTCTTTTAGACTGGTTGTTAGTCTATTGGTAATTTGTTGTTGATAGCTTATATTTTATTTTATATGCTTTTATAATTATTTATTAGTATTTTGTTATGAATAGCTTATTATGGTCTATAATGATTTTACTTGATAAATCTATTCATAAAAATACTTCTGTTAATATAAGATATATATATTGCTTTATAATTATATATGCTGATATTGATTATAAGATAATATATTTAGTTAATCTATTGATAACTATTATAGTATTAGTATAGATTATTCTATATATTGATTCTTTGAATAATAGTAATCCTTGAATAAAATTGATAGTAATACTTTATTATACTTCTATTGATATTCTTAATATTATTATCTTTCTATAAGATTTATATATTAATGGTTTATTTTAATTATATTCTTTATATTATTAAATATATTCTTTAATCCTTTTTCTAAGAAATAGAAAATAATATAATTGATTTATTATTTTAACTATTTTATTAATTTCTTAATGTCTTTAGTTAAATAGATTATGATATCTTATAATAACTTCTATAATTATTTTTTATAATACTCTGACTATATTATTCTATATTATAAGTCCATCTTATAGTATAGCTATTTTATCTTATAATTCTTATTGAATTTATTTATTTTTAATAATTTTATTCCTTAGCTTATTTATAAATTCTGATTTTTTAATTTTAATAATAATTACTAATACTGCTTTATAATTATATTATAATATATTAAATTTCTATTATAAAATATTTATCCTTAATGCTTTAATATTAATTATATAGTTTAATTATCTGCTTAACATATTTATAATAATATTTTATTTTTCTAATATATATTTAATTCTATAGATATATTATAATAGCTTCTTATATTATTATATTTATCTTTTTAATAATTCTTTAATAATTATAAAGTATTTTAAATTATAATAATTATTTTTTATAACTATTTTATGTCTTAATTCTTAAAAGTAATATCATCATTATTAAAATATTATAATAATAGCTAATAGTTCTTTATTATATATATTATAATTGATTTCTATACTAATACATTTTCTTAAATAAAATACAATAATATATATTTCTTTCTTATTATTAATTTATTTTAAAATTACTTTTAATCTATATTTTGATACATTAATTCATACAATATTCTATAACTCTAAATTATATAATTTCAAAATTAATATATATATAATAAATTTCTTAATTTTTTTAAACACTTATTATTATATTATTATCTATTTAAATGATTTATTTTTCTTTATTAATTCTATTAGTAGAGTTATGATTCCTATATATCTTTCTATGAATCTTTAAACATAGCTGATAGCCTTTAAAAATAATTATATAACTATAATATTCATTAGAATTAGCTATACTAGAATAATATTTAATTTCTTACTTAATATCTTAAATCTATTTAATATATAAATCATTCTTAAATATTTAATTTATATTATATCAAATTTATATTTCTTAATTTTTAATATCAATTCTATTTTTATGAGTTTTACTATAACTTTTTATATATATTTATTATATTGGCTAAAATCTTTAGAATATATAATAATATTATCAAAATATACTATTATAAATTTATTTAAATATTCCTATAATATATATATAATATATTATATAAATTCTATAGATAGTCTTTTTAATCCTATTAAAGTAACTAGCTATTCATATAGATCTAAGTCTATTAGAAAGGCTATCTTATAAATATCATCTTTATAGACTTATAGATTATAGTATTTCTATTTAATATCAAATATTATTATATATTTTACTTCTTATAATAAATCTCTTTTCTATTTTTAATATAATGTTTTATTTATATTATTCTCTATTTTTATATTTAGATCTTAATAATCAATTACTATTTATTTACTTTTATTTTTTTTATTAATGAATATATTAGCTGTTAAGTTTCTTATTCTTAACTTATAAATATATTCTGCTTATAGAAATTTTTTAATAAATTCCTACTTAATTTTTAATTTATTTTATGATTTCTATTATTATTTAACTTATTTCAGAACTATTCTTAATTTTAGTGATATTCTAACTTTATATTCTTTTATATATATTAGTAATTAATAAACTTTCTTTATAAATAATTCAATAAAGTTATAATATTTCTTAGATAGCTTTTTAAATATCTCATTAAGTTCTTATTTATAAATCTCTTTAGATTTTAATTGGATTCACTTAATTTATTATTCTATTTTATTGATTTCTTTAGTAATTATTATCTTTAGTTACTGTTTCTTTATCTTTTTATTAATATATATTATTCTATTGTTTATAATTATTATTTATTTTCTTTAATTGATTATTAAATTCTATATTTTTAATTATATCATTTTAAGGATTATATTATATTGTTTATAATTTAATAATAAAATTTTAAATATAGTATTAATAATATATCTTTCTGATTATATAGTTATATTTTTAATTATTTTTAAGTATTCTTTATTAAATATTATTTTATCTATTATAAATATAATTTGCTATTATATAATCTACTTTATTAATATTTTATATTTTTATATATATTCTTTATTAATAAAGTTTATAAATACTTCTAAATTAATAAATATTCTGATCAATTTTCTACTAATTATTATTTATATTATTATTATTTTTTTTAATTAAGATTTAATATTTATTATAGGAGAATTTCGATTTGTACGACCGGAGCTAAAATCGCCTTCAGCCCCGGGATCACCATCTACGGACTAGTGCCGCCTAGAAATCGGTCACGTGGAACTATATTGGGTTTAGCGTCACTAGGGACGTCCGGATCGGGGATCGCGTGATGTGCGGTCCACGTCCAAGTATATAAACCGCAGGTGCGTCGCTCAACGACCGCCCTCGATTTCCCTCCAGCTTTCTCTCCGGCCATCAGACCCGTTAGGCTCCGTCCGCAGTCCCTCCGGTCGCAGGAGCTGAAAAATTGGTCGTCAGCCGGCCCTTGGTGTCACGCCACCGTTGTATCTCCTATACTTCTCGATCCACCAACATTCATCGTCAGCCAATTAACCAGCTTTTCGATCTTCTCCCTGGCTCCTGAACACGATGGGGGTGTGAAAACCACGTAATTCCAGAGCAGCCTACCGGAACGGGGTGGGGAGAGGTTCGGAGTTGTTCTAGGGATGTTACATTCTCTAGTTCTCCCAGTTAGTTGACTGGAAGCTACGTTTCTCTAGCCCTCCCTGATCTCAAGAATGCCGTCAAACGGGCATGAGAATCAGGAAAGCAATGAGAGTCTGATATCGATACTGCCTGTTTCCAGAGACCGGTTGACAGGTAGCGGCTGACTGGGTTCATCGATTTACTGCAATGGGGGAGGACATTCACCATTTTCAGATTCCACCACTGGCGCTCTAGGGAGAGAACGGCCGAGTGACCAATGCCATATCTAGCTATACGAGGCTCCGTTGGTCCTTGAAACGATAGCATCATGTGCAATGACCCGCCAGGCGCAGCGCCATCGCTTGGTCCACGTCTGCCGTATCACAGCACTTAGATTGTGAATCAGATCCCGATCACAAAGTTGAGTATACGCTTACGCCAATAGCAAAAATCCCGCATCCAAATTTCGTGTTATCCATGGCGTTTGAACTCTGGTCTACTGCGAGCGGAGCGTGCCGTATAGTCGAGATGTGGGAACCCCGAATCGGCGAGCTTCCCAGGATGTTCCAGTGTCCAGCCGCCTTGTTTTGCCTTTTTTTCCGTTGCCACTTTGGGATTATCCCAGACTAGGCAAGGCAGATTTGATGGTGGTGAGCTGATGGAGACCCAAATCAGAGAGCCATCGGCAATGTCGACCTGAGTTCGCCTCCTGCCTTTCCTAGGGTAGATCGGCGTTCAATAGGCCCATTCCATTATGAGAACTAGAAAAATGGGACATCTAGAAATAGCTCACTCTTGCGTATCAAGCTATATAAACTGCGTTGGTCCTGTCCAAGAGTAAGATTAAGACCCTTCCTCAGTATCGCCCGAAGTCATTCATTCCTCTATACACCTCTTCAGCCATGGAACCCAACAAAAAACCCATCACTCTTACGAATATGATCGTGTACAGTGGTCCTCCACATCGTCCTCGTAAGCGATCTAAATCACCGTTTTCTATTGATGGTACATCCTCTTTCCAGTTCCAAACCTCCTCATCTCTAGCCCACCCCCTTCCACCACGTCCCTCTGCCCCAGTGACGCACTCCACAATTCCTGATTCTTTAGACCGAGAGCTATCTTCTCTTTCTTCTACTGGCCCCGTCCAACTGCCAATTCAGCCTCAATCGGACTCCTCCCAATCAAGAGAAGCTACGCCGGTCAATTCTGTTGAATCAAGCAAAGAAGACAATCTAGATTGCGATATCACAACTGATATGAATGAGCATAATAATCGTAAGAAGCTATCCTGAAGATTTGACAATCTAAAACTGATCATGATAGCGCAAGGCGATAACGAGTCTCTTAGCGAGATCTGTCAGGCAACATCTCTTCAAGAGAATTGCCATTCAATACAGAGATCGACTCGTGATTCTCCAGTAGCATTCAATCCGGATGCAGAGTCCCAATGCAATACGTCAAATGATGAAGGCTGTGAGAGCGTAGTTCCAGAAAGCCCAGCATGGAATATACCAACTGATGCGGGAACTGATGGTACTAGAATGTCCAACCAACATTCTATAAATCTCCTGGACGATGCCGACCTCGACGCAGTCACACCGGAAATTAAAACATCAAGATTAGCCAAATTGGACCTTGCTAGTCAGAATGAAGAACTTGAGCTAACTGAGAATCACTGCCCTGATGAGATCGTTACTGGAAGCGATTCCCGTCCATATCAATCGCAAAGGACAGATGGTCTTCTACCAATTAGAATGACCACGAAACATACAAACCTACTGGGTGCAGGGATGAAAGGACCCAAAAGCATACCGGTTTTCGCTACCCAAAAATATGCTGGGCGAAACCGTCAGCGCCGCCGTGCTTCATCTGAGAGTCTAGAAAGTGACGATCCTGAGGATGATGATTATCATAACGATAGCCTTGGAGAAGGCGATATAACTGATATTGAAATTCTAACTCCCCCAGCTAAGCGACAGAAACGGGTCAGTGCTTCTACACGGTCTGCTCGTCGTCGAACAAGTTCGCAAGAACGAGCAGATTCCACAGCAACATCACTGGCCAACCTATCAAGTGCCTCGTTAATGGTGCAAACCTCATTCAGCCCGGAGACCATCCGCATTCGTGGTTATCTGACTCGTAAAGTATCTCTATCTGCAGTCCGATATTGCTGTGTGTTCACGGAAGACCGGGAATCGACGGCCAATGACTCTAGCTTGTTCAATTCATTAGCCTCATTTACCGGACCAAGTAGTGATGCAGATGAACCGACAGCCATGTCCGACTTTCAGACTATCGATATTGAAGGCCTATTCACTCGTGAACAAACTCCTTCGGGGTATACATGGAAATGCACCTTCAGAGAAGATAAAAGCTCCCCATCATCATCGGGAGCATCACCCATTACTGCTCATAACACCTCACCGGGCACCAAACGGCCAGCTTGCAGCAGTGGGCGCATTTCGAGACGAGTCAAGAGAGTGAAGTATACTCACAAAGAAGACGCTCTCATCATAGACCTAAAGGAGAGACAAAAATTGACATGGCCCGAGATTGCAAAGCATCTCCCAGGGAGAACGATTAATGCTCTTCAGGTACACTACTTTACGGAATTAAAGGATGGAAAGCGCCAGAAGACGGAAACGGCGCTCAGACAGGCAAAAGCAGGGCAACAACAGAACAAAGGTCTTTCAAGGGCACAGCCCAACCGACCACGTCCATCTAATGGTGTACCTCCCAGACAGCCGCGATATAGACTGCGTCGGAATAGACAGTCGCCTAGTCGCTACTCCCCAGAATAGGCCAGCTGCACTGCCACGTCATACGATATTGAGGACTGCCTTCTCCGATAAAACATTCCCCTTCTATGTTTCTCACCCGTGCCCTTTGAAATGTCCAAAGTTCCGGTTTTACTAAGTCTTAATTATGTTCTGCAATACTACTTACACTTTTGATATCATGTTGAAACATCGGTATGTGGTGGAGCGGATTGATATCTATTACGCACTAGTTAAGAAAGATCAATCCTAGAAATCTTTTGCGAGAAATATCCTCAAGTAGATATATATTCTTATTATGTATATAAAATCCACGGTACTTTTATCTGCCTAGTTCCTACTATTATTGTTAAGACACCTGTAGTCATTTACTCTCATCCCTCAATATTGAATAAAAGAGCCATTATGCTATTCTTCCTGTGCAGTATTCATTGTTTGAAGCCTTGAGGCCGTAGGACGGGAAAGCAATCTTGAAGGCAGACAATAGCAGGTAGGCTGCGTATGGAATGTTAGCCCACTTCTCTTTTTTATTTCTCGTTTAGATGTCAGAGCACGTTCAATTCCACTCCATGAACTCTATCATCATTAAAATCAATCTTCTTTGTAAGTAGCTGGGCTTACCTGATTATAGACAACGTCATGCTCTGAATTTTATATATATCAAGTACCCAATTGCTCCAGCAACGGAAGCCACGACCACGAGCCCTATCATGTAACACAAGATGCTTGTTGGTCGAATGGGACCTACGTTACGCATATGGCGGTCGTGGTGGACATTGTCGCGACTGATGAATGGCTGCTCGGTATAGGCTGGCAAGGGGATTGCAGCCTCAAGACTCTGAGACACAGAAGGCATGCTGAAGAATGGATAATGTGTTCAAATATAATTTCGCTCGATAAGAAGATCTCAAGGACTCTGAAGAATCTGTAGTCCAGAACTACTGAAATCATATAAGTGCCGTCTTATATACCTACAAGGATAGCATGGCCTCAAAATCGAGTAAAGCGAAAGCTGCTCCGCCACATCCAATATGGTACATCCCCATCTTCCAGAACATAGAGCATCAAGTCCAACGTTAGCGCTGGTGAAGGGCACATACACGGACGAAGTCATAGCAGCCACTATCATGGTTCTAGAGTCAGCTGAGGCAATTTGAATGGCGATTATTAGCTTGAGGGAGATGAAAGGTTAATAATAGTCTTTCCTCAAGTTAGTTAGAAAAGAGGCCAGGCAGATTCGTTCCCTAGAAAGGCTTAACCGAGGGATGATACACCGCCAAGCAAATCGATAGAGCGTGGTTTTGGGCCTAGGCAGCTTTTTTTTCAATAGCCCTTTAGACGACCAAGGGTAAGAATGTCATGGAAAGCATTGGGTGACACGCTGCGCCACCGAGCAGTTGATCTGCTTGGATATGGCGGCCCACCTCATGGTGGACCATCGGCACCTGAAGGGAACCTGCTCTTGTATGAATATTTCTTACATGTCTGCCTTGTACAGCCCATCGGGAGGCTCTGAATTTGCCATTCTGGCCCTTCATGACTTCTGCGTGACATAAAGCCAGGAGCATCCCCCTTCTGCCTCTGTGTATAGTGCATCAAGTTTCTCCAAAAGAAGTTTATTCCAAGTAATTATACCCAACTTATTCTCACCAATTATAAACTTTTAAACCCAATGAAGAATTACTATTCTACACAAGGGTTATTCCAACAAACTATCCCCCAGAAACCTCGGCCGAACATAAGATCAAACGTGAACGACCAATTTCTCAAAGACGATGAATCACTCCCCGATATCCCAACTCCAATAGACGAAGATGGTGATGAGACACTTTTCAATACTTCAACAAGGGAACTCAACACCGTTCTTCCTCCGCAAACATGTGTGAAATCTAAATCAGATAGTCTCATCCAACCCGAGTCAATGACCATCGTCAGCAACGATCGCGACATTGGAGAGTTCATAATACACGAACTTATAGACAATTTAAGTGATATATGTAATGTTAGAAACAGATTTGGATATCACATAGCTGCCATTCTCCGCTACTCCAAGATGCAACAGATCATGTTTCCAGATCACACAAAGCTCAGGCTAACTTGTCTCGGTAAATTCGACATTTTTTCTAATACAGAAAGAGACGAAGTGATAGACAAGATAACAACAAAATAAGGCTCTTAGCCTGTACTTCTCTGGCTCTATCAGACCGTTCTACCAATTTTTTTTGGTCGATGGGGATACAGGGGAACTTTGCACCTCACACCTCAAGTTCCCTCTTACCACCAAGCGACTACACTTCCATGTATGGATATCAAGATTAGAGCAGCTGCTTCAGGTATTCGCCTCAAGTTGCAGATCCATCGTGGAGGTCAGTATGTTAAGCGAGAAATATTCGAAGGCACAGCTTGCAGGATAAGATCTGCCCCTAGTAATAAAGTCGAAAATAATGTTACAACAACCTCGCATACAGGTGATAGCAACAGGGGCCAAGGTCTAGTTGAAGTGATCGATTATCTGTGGTCTGGAAACAGTAAATGGCATATGGCGACAATGGCCTTACTGGAACAGAACAGTAAGACCAAAGAGGAGTTCTATGCAAGGCTTATACGGGCAAGGGAACCCTATGAAAAATATCTGGTCGTATCAGACCTACAAAGCAAGGAGTGTCTTGCTTTGTTCCGCCGATTCCCTCCTTGTGCGATCAAGCAATTAAAAGATCAGCTTGGAGAAATTTCTCCCTTTGGCAACAAGTCTATTATTTGATATGATAAGTTTTTGATCTTCAACCTAGCAGATATGGCTTAATTATGGTCAATATTATCTTTGAAGATCCGTCAAAATCCGTATCCCATCTCAAAAGAATCAGCTGTGACTTACCACCTCGCAAAAGACATGCAAGCGACACCCAAATATCCTATGAACGACAACCTGGCTGGCTGTACCCGCCCTACGATCAACTGGAAACCGTGCCGGTTTCTGTTACATCCATGAGTGCGTTTTCCACTATATATGACACCCTGCGTTGTTCTGGTGGCGTTTCAGACTCTGAATACAGGTCCGATATTCACCCTAATGACCATGGGCACGGTATCGGCCATGATTCCCAAGAAGGCAAAGTTGATGGCGGTGGCCCTGCGTCCTCGCATGACCTCTTTACGCTGGCTAGCGACGATGATCGGCATTCCACGGACGGGGATGGGGGCAGCCATGGATTTGCAGACGATATATTTTCGCATCCGTCAGAGAATGAGCCATCCTTAGGCAGTGTCTCCAGTACGGGACCTTCCCCAGATAATAGGAACTCTCCAATCCGTGACCCTGCTACTCGTCTAAGGCAACCAGCGACTATTCAATCTTCGCAGAATCCACCAACTGGGTCGGATGGGCATGACTCAAAACGAAGTCACCGCGCGCTCTCAAAGATACCGTCGGTAATATCCGAATCAGAGGAACTCGGATCTAACCTTGAGAATTCCGACTCTGACGCGGAACCGGATAATGATGATGAAGATCCCAGAAGCCTGTGGGAGTACACACGTATTGTGGCGCGTCGTGTTGATTCTTCGGGTCGCAAGTTCGTAAGAGTTAAGTGGAAAGCTACGTGGGAGCCTGAGGACGAGCTAAATGGGTTGAAAACGGCGCTACGACTGTACGAAAAGCGAACACATCGAGAAAAGCAAAGCTCAAAGGAAATATGTTTGAAATGCGGTGCGAGAAAGCGCAAGTTTCCTGCCTAAATGGCGTTCCTTGAATCGCAAGAGGATTCTTAGGCTCGACTATCTCGAGCGATATCCGTAACTTCCAGCAACATCTCATTAACCACAGTATTTACCCTCACATACAAATATCCAGATGAGCGAATACCACCGAGACCTAGGAACAGGATTAATATTAAAGAAAGACTGACATGCCATCAATCCTCACTTTGTCCTTCAAAATTCATTGAGGACGTGCATGAAAAATTTATACAGATCGACGCTCGTGCCTTCAAAGAAAAGCCAAGCACACGATTTGCACGGTCCATTCCAGGTAGCCGCAGCGTTCAGGACGAATTGGAGGTACTGTAATTAGTCATTGCTCGAAGAGTGCAAGAAGTAGAGACGAGATTTCATTCCATTATTCTTCCTATTGACCGTTGAATATTCTGACAATGAATAAACAAACTCTTGCGTAATGTATGCCAAGGGAGTCATACTTCCGTTTCAGGTTAGTGTGGAAACCGCTATCAAAGGCACGTATGGGCATATCGATGCGATTAGCATGCGACGTGTGAGCAGCGCTTAAATAGACAGAGGGAACTTAAAACTGTATATACTATCTCGAATACTTTGCACTTCGTATTTGCATTGTTTATCTCGATGGATCAGGTACGCAGATAACAGGCCAGCCATTTCTAATCGGATGACGGCCACTGTTTTATTTACTTGCTTTTTGTCCCGTCATTACAGATTTTCTTTAACAGACAGAATGGTTATTTGCAAAATGTTGATAGTTGGTTTCTATCAGAATTCATGTAGCAATTCTCCCCTGCGCTCTGCCTTACCAAGTACCACTAGTCACAGGCAGACGTTGGATTATGGGCGTGCAACCCGCACCAGTAGCCATGCTCAACAGTTCATTGCACCATTGTTCCTGGACCATTTTATCCGACACATAATCAACGAGGTCAAATGCAATATCCCAGTTGTCGCGATTTGTTCTAGGATTAGACCAGTTTTTAATGAGGAGGTGGAAAAAGTCAAGCGTTTGCAGCTGATGGCAAAATCTATCCTCTAAGAATAATATCCTAAGCATTGATAATTCACCCCACTGGAGAATCTGATCAGCAGCCTCCATGGCAGGATTTCGAAGAAACTTCTCGTTGTCGAAGTCCGAATTCTCAAGCATATAACGTAGCATGGCTTCTGAGCCATAGAGCGAAGTGATGCTGAGAGGATCATATAGATTACTATCAAATTGAAATCTAGGGTTGATTGCGCAGCCTGGGCGACAGTTTTGTTGAATCCAATTGTGGAGACGAGTTGAGCCCGCCTGGCACAGACTCTCTATACTTGCAAGGCCTGGAAGAGGTTCGGCCTTGATAGCGCCGAAATGTTTTAGCCAATAGCATGATGCGTAGACGAAGAACTCGCCAAAACCACGATCAGTCGGATCGTAGCGAATCATATTTTCTTCCCAGGATTCCCATGTGCAATATGGATCGTACTCGACAGGCTCTTCACTATCATTAAATAGGTTAGATTCTTGGGGCAGCTCTGCGATTGCCACTTGCTCCTCAGAGAACAGATCCCTATTGCCAATATCATCTAAAAGAAGATATTTGATGCAAATATCCAAGGTAAATGCTTCCAGGTTCTCAACACGTCGTTGGCGAAGAATCATCTTATCGCCTTCGTTTAAGGCCGGGCCTTCTTTTATGACGAACTTCTCGATGGCAAACTCCTTCACCGACTGGTGTACGAGTCGAACTTGACGCTTCTTTAAGTCATTGAAATCGATGGGAGCAATGAATGGATGGATAAAACTCATTACTCTTTGATGATCTACTAGCCGATCAAGGGCCGCCACGGTAGAAACATGTTGAGCCGCACCCAATGCAACTGCCCAGGCGAGCTCCAATATGCTAAGAGGTCTGCGGCTGATGGAGAGAAGTTTCAAAGCTATCCAAGCTAGGTCCAGACTTTCGGGATCATTCGATGTGCAGCGTGAAAGCAAGGTGACATAGAGATCCGTGAGCATTCCGGGTAGTGGTATGTCTTCCAAAAATCTTTCCATCGGATTGGCTGCCATGATTTTTTTTACCTTGATAAGCTCAACAATCATCTTCGTCCATATAGCATTTCCTTGAGCTAAACTGGATAGCTTCTTTATGACAAGAGCTTTGACATTCGTCGATAGCCTAGCTAACTGAGTTTCAACTGTTTTTTCAACGATGATGCGGTCTCGTTGAACGTCAGAACCTAGGTCAATCCTAGGCATTACGTCGAGCTGTTCCAAGATCTCTTCTTGAGGACGGAAAGACAGTATGGTTTTGAGTCCCAGGATCTTTTGTGACAATATTTTCAGAAATTCGAGAACAATGATTTGCGATGCACTACCGCACTCGTCCAGACCATCAATGATGATGAAAATTGGGCGATCGACTGATTCTAGCAGCCTTTGCAGGAACTCCTCCAGTTTTTTACTACTTGCTGCTGGATTCATTCCAGAAGTCAGAGCGTGATCATACCACTCGAAGAATGGCCTTTTCAGACCAGGGAGTTGATTGAGGAGTGATAGAATCAAAGCAGAGAATATATAGACAGCTTGACCCGTCTCGTCGTCCCGGCAATAGTATGTGCATATCTTGGGCTTCGGGACTTGATCCTCGCTTCTTCTGCGCAGCTCGTCCACAAGAAAAGTCACGGCAACCGTTTTTCCACAACCCATAGGACCGACGATCGCTAACTGCTGAGAATCGGACGCGTGATACCAGTTGGTAAAGTTGGTATTTGACAGTAAGAAATCGCAGGCCTCATTAGCTCGGAGATCCTGTAAAGTGTTATGGTATTGATCTTGAGGGAGCAACTTGTCACCACCGAGCCAGCCAGAAACTGTCCCTGTATGAGAATGATATAACGGACTGGCGTGCGCGAAAACTTACTTCTATCATGATAGAGCATAGTTCTCATTTCCTCCATAATCTCGAGCGTCGCTTTGTCTAGAAGTTTTCGGAGGGACTCGGAATATTTCAAGAATTCTTGGACAATATTTGGAAGGCGGTCATTCTCTAAGATTATTTTCATTATTAATTTTGCGCCTTTCCTGGTTAATGTCTCAAATGCAACTTTGTAGAATTCTAGGAGTTTCTGGTATACCAGCACCAGTGCCTACAAATCATTAGCGAGGCCTTCATAATGTTATTGTAGCTTACCTTGTGAATATCTTTCTTATTCACTTTTTGACCAAGGGTGTCACAATCATCGATGTAGGAGATTTGATCTCGCATTTCCGTAATTTGGCTCGCGAAGTCCGCATCAGCGGTTGCAAAACTGATAATGATCTGTGCATATATGATTCAGTGCTTCTGATATGATGATCTCTGCTTCTCCAGCAGTTTTTATGAGGCATTCTTACCGTAGTCACGCTTCTGACAACACCAACAACCGTTGATGCAGTCGGCTCAAGGTTTGCCAGTGGACTGGCCAGATCTAATGCTTGCTTGAAAGTTTCTAGAGGTTTTTGTATAGAATGCAAATACCTAACACCCCTCACGAAGGCAGATTCCTGAGTTACGTCTTTGTCGATCTCTTCAAGTTTTGTGAATAACTGCGCGACATTCTCTCCCTTGAGGATGGCAACATCTATTTCCTCCCCCAGACTCTCTACGGCCTCACGGTACGCTGCACTCCAAAGATTCGAAGAAACAATAACGCTGCCGGCGGCATCACGACGAATCGGCCCGCCGGCGGTCTGGCGTTGTTCGAGTTCGTCCCAATGGGCGGTGATCTGGTCAGTTTGAATTTGAGCCTCGTCATCCCCAATATTGGTCGATTCCCTAGGGATAGTGTTCGCTTGATTAAGAGGCAATGCGCTGGCAGCAGATGGCCGCGAACTTGAAATCGGGCTGCTCACCTGATTAGCATCGTTGAACCGATAAGGTGTAGTACGTACTTGGTTGCAAGACTTGGGCCTGTTTGGGTATTCTGGGGTAAGTAAATACCCATATCGTTCGAAGGACTTCGAGACCTTCCTCGAAGTTGATTCCATCGTTGTCGTAATCTACGTCGAACGCCTCCGTTTTCTGTTGCGGAAGAAGTCATGGTCGTGGCAACCTTTTAAACTGTGGTTTAGCAGTCCTAATCAATATTAGTCCCTGAACCTGCGGTGTTTAGACTCATCGACAGAGTTTGCTGCATGTAAATACTCAAATATAGAGGATATTTTTGTATTCAGGATAACTGATGGGTGTGGGACTGTTGACTATTAATAATCCCACTTGGGCAGTCGTTACAACAATTACCCCTCACAAGAAAGTGATTTGATTGGACCAGCCTCATACCAGCTTTCAACCCCTGTAGTATGGCCTCCTTTGTGCGAATTCCGAAACCCCATTGTCAAGTAGAATTTCATTGTAAATTATTGCGGAGACCCTGTTACTAACAATAAAATTATAAAGCTGCGCCCTTCTCCGTTGAAACTCATCAAATGCGACCAAAGCTAACCGGAGATGAATTAGAATGGACTGGATTACTGCGGTCCATTCATAATCATCTGTCGCGTAGGACGGATCTATCCGTCGCCGGCCAAGACAACCCACCCAAGTTCTTGCATTAATTCCGTTACCGAAGGGTTCGGAGGTCTCGTGTAGAACCTGACGATAATCTTGTTCAGGCAGGCGATGCCTCTGAACCTCACATCAATTTCCGTCAACACATCTCGAATAAACTGGGTATTCTGGTCTTCATTAATCAGGTCGCTTGAACCGGGGCTATAAATGAGGGCCTCCAGTGCCTTCAGGTTGGTGCATTCCTGCTGGAGAAGCTGCAAACTGCGCAAGCTATCTTCCGTAGGCCTAATTTCTCCCAGTTGACCTATCCTCTCAATAGTCGGAAAGTTGATGCAGAGATGGGACAGTAAACTTGCATTCACATGTCCGATCCTGACTAGAAAGGATTCTAGGAGGTGATTTGTTGTTTCCATGAGGGTAAAATGATTATTACCGTAGAGAACCGCCCTGGCCTCATCGGAAATCTGTTTATTGGTGTATAGTAATGCAAGCCATCGACAGGGTATTTCGGGCGCAAACATCTCCACTCGAGATCCAGAGTCTTGAAAAATATAGAGCGGGTGTGGAACGACAAGTACTTGTTTGTAAATATTATTACGAATCTCGATAGGCAAACCAAGGAAACCGACAAAAGCTGAGGCCGTTTGCGATGATGAAGCCTTTCCTAATCTCGAGTACGACATAGTAGGATATTAAGGTATCTGTAAGAAGGCCGTGACCGTCTTTCATTCAGAATCGATTCTTAATTGAGAAAAAATCTGAAAGGCTTATTGTGGGAGGAGGAAAGCTCGTTGATTTCCGCCGTTTCTTTCGGTACGCGATGAGGGTAGATCTTGCTGTTCTACTGCCAGTTATCCGCGTTCATAGAAGGTGTATTTGAAAGATCAACAGCACGATCTGACTATATCCTACTACGGCCTCACCATCAGCATGTGTTAAATTCATTTGTATAGAATGTATCATGTAGTGCAACATACCGGTCGTAATGGATCCGACGTGCAACTTCGAAAGCGTTTGTAGTGTTTCACCTCCTGCCGTGTCCCATATTTGAGAAGAGAAAAATTGGTTGCAGATTCCGATAGTGTCACTAGATGTTAGCTAGAGGATAGAGCATACGCTCCACTGGATTCACTGAACAACCAAATGTCACAAAAATATGAGAATGAATATGCCATGAACGTCTTAAAAAGTGATTAGTCAGTAACCTAACCCAGTTGAAGCATCACACTAATCACGTGATTTATCGACGAATGGGGTCAATTTCGAATACCTACCACAGGATGCCGAGAACGAAAAATTTGATTGCAACCAATGCAGTTTTGCCAACCCCGGTCGGGATTGACTTTCATGCTGCCCGGCTGTCCGTTATAAATGAGAACACTATAACTATATTGCCCTCCACCCTCCGTCACCAAAAGAAACGACTTCCTCAATCGTCAGCGAGTGCACCCTCAACGATGGAACCCTCGAGCCAAACAAAGGAAGTCCTAGATCAAGTACGTACTCTTGCGACATGGTTAAACGACGTCTTGGATGAAGATTATTGGCGGCCGTATCGTGCAAATGTCGATGTTGAACAATGCAGTCATCCGGACCGGGTAAATAAGATCAGACCTCTGATTAGTACCGGAAATATTGAAGTAAGTCGTGACATTTCCGTTTTGCTTGCTGTGATTCTAAGTGCTTTCTCTCCAGGTCAAAGGACGAATGGCTTTTCTAATCAGATTTCGTGGACCCTGCAACAAATATCTCGAACCAACATCGCACGAAACCTTCCCAGGGGAATTGTTGACGTTATACCACGGAGACGCACTCTGTCCAACCGCGAATGGTAAAGCGTTGGCCATCGGGGAATGGATAACAGTGACAGAGCCTCCCAACATAGATGTTGCCCACCAAGACACGTTACTCCTGTTCGTGCTCTTTACAAAGCGGTGAAGTTGTCCATATCGATGCCATAATGCTCGAAGTCAGAATCCTCAGCATTCTCATCATAGCCACCATTTTTCCAAATCGTTGAAATGCTGGGCATAGCAGCTGGAAAATGATTATCTGGAAATGGTGAGCAATTTTCAAGTTGGATATTGATTCCAAACTTACCCTGCGGAAATGTGCGACCTGTCTGTGCTGAGCTGTACGGCGCGAACGTCAATATAGGATCAGTTGCAGCGTCCGAAACTAGTATGTTTGTCATTGATTGATTAGGCTCCACAACGACAGGGTGGCCCTGGCTATTACGTGTGCTGATGGCTGGCACACCGCATGTGCCAGCATGACTTGGACGATTTGTCATTCGGTTCCTCTGTGAGGGGGAAAATACGTTCATCCCACTGGTGTCACCATCGTCGAGTGAGCGCTGATTGTCATTTCCAACATAACTGATGGCCGAGTTTCTTGAGTGCCCCCGTTGATGACATTTAGTGCCAGAGTTAGCTGGTGATTGTTGTGGGAAAACGCCAGTAATATCTCCATCGTGCAAACGCCGACGGGAGCGCGGCTCTGGGATATGCTTCCGTTTTGATAATCTTGCTGGTTTTTTTCTATCCAGCGTCTCAACGATGAACAGGAAATCTGGATGAGGTTTGATGACATCAACCGTCATCAAAAATGATTGCAGCTGAATCTCTGGAAGACCTTTGAGCTGTTTCACGACCTGTTTGTCATCCGTTGCTGCTGCGGCGAGAGCTGTCACGGCGCGAACCCCACCGTGCGTGAAAAACTTCGCTTCTAACGATGTGTCGTCTACTGTTCCAGCCTTACACTCTGCGACAATAGTATGGAGACGATACGGTGTAGTTTGCCTCTTAGCCTGAAGTGAACGACGGAATCGATCTCCAAGTCGAATTCGGGTAAGGGTGTCTTCGTCCACTTGCAGGGAAAGAAACGCCTTGATCAAGGCCTCAAGAACGAGATTAGGATCTTCTCTCAGCGCCTCATCGACATCAATCAACTTGTTTGGACAAATCACCTTGAGCTCGGGCAATTTCTGAGCAGAGATATCGCTTGAGAGAACCATTGTTAGAAGTTGACAGGAGTATGTAGACTAAAGAGAATCTATCGAGCAGAATATGGCTCTCGTTGAATAATTGAGGAGAAGAAAGCGGCTCGTCACTGAAACTGATGTGTAGAAATTGACTCTTGGCGAAATCTGCGGGTTGAAAACTGGCGTTCGTCATAATTAAAGGGGAATAAAGCGCACGGTCACCATCCACCCATCAGTCATCAGTCCTGCATTGTCCGCTTCCTTACTATCCGCCCTTCCAGTGAAAGCAATCGGGCTTTTCAGTCTTTGCTCCGGCTGCCTCCATAAAATCCCTGGATGGGTGATACGATTGAAGAATTTACTCAATAACTATTTAGACAGGTATCCGCCATCCCTCCGAGCAATGTTCATGTGGCTGTAATCCTTTCAAACTGAACGGCATTTAAGCTATATTGACAGGGCGGTTAAATTGGTTTATACCTTCATTGGAATGGCAGAACTGTCATAATTTTCTTTCCGCGACGCTTATTTCCCGCTGCCACCTTAACCACCTCTGAGATCTTGATATAATCTCCGACATGATACAGCAAGAGTAAAGACAATTTTTTTTTCCATTGCCTTCATTTGCTGCTGCGCGAACTGCACGACTATTGCTGTTTGAATAGATTAATCAATACGCGCAATGGTATTTGTCGAGTCAAACGAGAAAATTTAACATGATTTGAACACGCTACCAGGCCAGCCAGGGGAATCAATTAATGTGAGCGTAACCACTCAGCATATATCTCAAACCTTCATCCTCCGATAACCCTTAGTTATCCATAGAAACTAACAGTATTGGCACACTCGACATTGCTCTACGTAACACTTTGGTGGTCTGCTGCTAATACATGTTTTTTGAGAGCCACTGAAGCTGTAGCTAATCAACTCCGACTATAAACATGACCAACAAAATATTGCAAATGCCTCAAAAAAGTTCAGGTCAGAGTAAAAGCAAATCTAGCTCTCAGAGAAATATTCCCCCCAAGATTCCTAGCCTAAAAAAGGATTATTGTGCCTTGTCATCAATTTGAAGATAACCTTTTCAAGGCTTCTTGACCTTATTCCATCTGTTATGATCCGACGCACATTAATTCCATTAACATTGCACACCTCACGCAACTCTTGCTGTGAAACATGAAACGTGAAACTTGAAACAATACACTTTATATGTTCACTGTGTCACCAATTATCTTAATTAGTCGCATGATATCGTTGGGAATATGGCGCTCGTCCACCTCTTTGCTTTCGTCATACCACCCCTTAAGTTTAGAAACATAGTGGTGTAGTGGATCGTTCTCTATCCCCAACCGATGCTGATTCCTTTCGACTCTCGGTTCCGCAGTCGAGATCGGAAGTTAGCATTTTCTCAATTCAAACTCCTCCATTGTAGCGCAAAATACGTCGCCTTTTCCGGTAACTACCTGAAATCGCTAATATAACGAATGCGTTTCCATTATCCCAGTATCATAGACGGTGCACTGCGTACTCGCATGGTTTGGCTTACAATACGATGCACCTAAATCAGACACTCCATGTGGCGATATTCACTATAGTCCGCATCTCAGATGACTCAATCCTTTTGTGGAATTCAGATAGCAAAGTTGTCTTTTGTGAGATTATTTTTGTTGAGTTGCAGGTAGATTGGCCGCCAGGCTTCGATCAAGTGTAGAGGTGGGTATTTCCGGAAGATGGCAGGTCTCCCAACTGAGTAACGTTCTTGCCTTTTGCTCCTCATTTTTCTTCAAGGATTCTTTGTTGGTTCCTCCATCTAATACCCGTGATGCAAATATAACAAATGGTTTTAGTTCCAAAAGTGTGGCAGTAACCCGACCGCAATACGCACGAAAAACTAAACAACGTAGTTTTGTGTATGGTGGAGATTGGTCTACAGCACTATGATAATCCCGAATTTCTCATACCTGTCGTCGCTATTCACCGTTAAGAAATGGGTGCTCAATTAACTGCCGGGCCGTTTTTCTCTCCTTTGGGAGCCAGGTAAGCATCTGACTGACAAATGACAAGAAGGCTTGTCTTTCATCCCCCTCTAAAGACGGAATTGTATCTTTAAGGCTTCGGGCAGGTACTAGATCATCGTGGAGGAAATTGCCTATAGTAGATAGTTCAGTGAAAGGACATGCACCACACAAGTCTATGTAGCCTACCCTTGTCGTCAAAAAATGGCCCACCAAAGAAGTCCCGCATGTTCCTGCAATGCCTTCCTGCATCATTCTGCACGGAGTTCGGCCACTTGTACCCAGCCATGGCATCAGACTTGGCAAGTAATTCCTTGGGAGGCGGGCCAAGCAGCCCAATCATCTCCGCTAGATGTGCTTTCGCATCATAATGGCCTTGACTGTCATAGACACTACAAAATAGATCTGTGCGTTCGAGCATATTCCATATCTGTTGAGAAGAAGGTTAATATACAGGCTTGCCTAATTTGAACCACTCCAGGTTTTCTTACCAAGACTCCAAGATTCCATATATCGGCACTAAATCCCCAACCACTGCCTAGGACAACTTCAGGAGCACGATAGTGATCTGGCTGTATGGGATAAATGCCAACTTCCTCTCCCTTCTCCAATTCACCACCCGGAGGATCACTGTCAAGTCGACTTGCCAAACCAAAATCGGCGATTTTGGGGATCATTTTCCTCAACTCCCTCCAGTCAAGGGGCCCGAAGTCGTTGTGACAGCGGTAGATTGCTCTATTGGTATCAGCATCTACTTTGCATTGAATAGACGTGATAGTGGAATGCTCTTTGATGAACTTGGGGAGAATATCTTCGTTTTCGAAGGTCATGAGAATGTTATCGAGCTTTAAGTCTGCAGATATATCAGCACTGTCTCAAGGAAAATAGTTGACAAACGAGGCAGGTAACTTGCCAGTATGAACGATCTTGCATTCTGAGTGGAGAAAGTCGAGACCAGCAAGAAGAATAAGAATATACCCTTTAGCAATCGGTAACGGGAGTTTCTGATTGACAAACCGTTTTTGGAGAATCCAGAGCGGCTCTCGCAGAGGTTCATAGACCAAACATAGATGGCGGTCTACAGGCCCAGTCACCTCAAAGCTCTTGAGGCAGGTTCGCACAATGCCACGGCCGCGGTGTGACACAGTTTGTCGTCCAATATGCTCTTCAATGTCACGCTCATGACTAGCCTCATCAGCATCGCGATTATTTATTATTTTCAGTGTTATAAAACGTTCGGATTGCCATCGATATCTAATAGATACAACATGTTAACAGTAACCAGAGACCAGAGACATAAAGCAGAACATACCTTGTTGTGTCTCGCGCAAGCCATACCGTCGAATGTGTTCCCCAGCCAATCTTAACCAGTAATTGATACTGATTAGCAAGGATTTCACCAGGTTTAGCCGGATAAAAGTATTTAGGGTTGTAAGTTGGACAGGCCTCCTCATCAACAATTTCGTGTTGAGGGATCGAGGGTGTAGGAGTTGGAAAGAACCGAGCAGATCGAGAGCGGAAAAAGGCGCGATCCATCACACGGCTTATTGACCGCATTCCAATCATATGACGGGGATCTTCCTTCAGTGTATCGGCGGCTATTTTGTGAGTTGTGTATCGATACTTAACAAAGAGTAAACGAAAGCTGGCTCCTGCGTTATGTACGGTTATCAGGAAAAAGCAACGGAGGAATGTTCCAAGCCGCTCTTGGCGGCGGTCCCTTATACTAAGCCCTTTTTGTAGGGTTCCACTAGGATACGTCTCATGTACAAACACATTTGTAGAAGGAATAGTGTCGGTTTCATTGGTAATTGTTAAATCCCAATGACACAATCTAGGGTTTCACATCTAATCAGCTCGTTCTTCACCTTCTTGTCCCGGCCCGCATCCATCAAACCAGTACACTAAGTTAAAGCTAGAGTTTCTATCCAGAACTACATGGCACTTCCATCTCCCTCGGGAGCTTCGGGGTCTCTTTCGACTTTGACCGTTCCGAAATCCTTCGAAAACGCAACAGTGCCGTCAGGATACACATGTGCTGACACAACGCGGTTTTTTCCCTTTACGTCCCCCTTTCCAATAGTAATAGAGCAATGGTAAGGATCCCCGGTTTTAGGTGTTGGATGAGGGTTGCCTCTGTAGACTATTAGATGAGTACATAACATCTCAGATACACATACTGTACAACACCACTATCGACTTTGCCACCGAGTCCATGGGCCTTGTCTACTGCCTTTTCTGCAGTTCGTTGTGCCCAAGCAACATCAGCGGTTGTGCCATTAAGAGTCCATCCCAGCTTCTTTAGCTGTTGGGCTGCGGTTGAAAATGCTCTCGACATCGGAGGCTGAGGGATAAAGCAGGTCGGATCAATGGAAACAAAGTGTCATCCAAAGTGTCATCAAAAAATTGGAGCTGTATTTGTGAGGTGTATTGAGTAATGATGAATTAGATTTGTATGTTTACGGAGGAATAAATCCTCTTTATAACCGTTCAAGCCATATGCACACTGGAATCGTTCCATTACCCCAATAATGATGAGATAATTGATTCGTACTTGTCGCTCCTTGAATTTGTTTCAAGTCCTCTTTTTTTCCTCGGTCGATAGGCTGACGGCTATTAGGAGAGAGCAGAATGCGAAGAGCGGCGCCTATCGAGCGCTTAGCAGGTTTCTTACTCATGACTGTGTCGAAGCCCAAATATCACATTCCAAAGCCAATTAAGATCGACTTATCTAGCGCCCTGGTGTTGATTTTCTGTGCACCGGAGTTAATTACCAGTTCCAAAAATATGGGAAGGGGCGATTAGCGTGTCTTAGTGGCTGCTTGAGACCTGGCCGCAACAGGCCAGAGATTGCTGAGCGAGGATATGCCCTGGCGGGTAGGCAATTCTACATATGGATATACTGTAAGCGCTCAAGATTTCGGAGAGCACGAAATGCAAAAGATGAAACTAGGAAGCATGGTCCCACCCAACATTATGGTCAATATTCTAAATATATGCGTGGACAAGCGATGAATGAGACGTTGGGGAGCAAGTTTAAATTGAGAGAAATTTCTTTTCGCCTCGAAATATTAATTTTCAGCAGTGATAGCGGAGCTGTATGTATTATGTGTCTTTCTTGCAGCTCCAGATACCTCTTAACGTTTCCGAGCCATGGGTTTGCCCTGAGAGGCAGGAGTTGGCTTTGTGTTGGGAATAAACGCCGACTGGTTCCTACCTGTCGTTGGCTGAAGGCGTGGGGCGCTACTGCGAACATCGTTCTACACCAATCCTATGCGTTAGCGCTAATTGGGGTGTATTGCCTGCCAACGATTTTGGAGCACTTTATTTCTAACAAAAACTTGGAGTACCGGTAATGTATAAACTAACATTTTAATGCACCTAACTATCCAATTGATTTAGAGTCGCAGGCCACTGATGGACAAGGGTACCAGCTGTGGACAAGGCTAAGCGCATGCAGTATTTTCCGTTTGTTCCGTTTTATTTCCTATTTATTGTTCCATCTGTTCTATTCACCGTGTGACCTGCCACATCTGTGTTCTCAAGACCCCTGGCTTACAGACGAGAAGGCTTAGCATCTTACCGAGTCACATTATACGATTGATAATGACTTTGTTCATGTAATAACTGCATAGTAAACCTCGTATTATGAGCCAAAACCTCTCACGTAATTAATTGGACTGCCAGTTTAGGACCTGGATCCGCCACGCATATTGGTTTCGTATCATTTAGGCCGGTCTGCTAGAATAGAATGTTAGTGTCAATATCACAACTGTTTGGTGGCCTGGGTCCTAGGTTTGATTAACATCTAGAACCAAAAATAGTCACGTGGATTTGATCTCGTAGATGCACTGATGCCTAATCTTCAAAAGAACTCGACGAAAACGCTATGTAGACATCGGAAAATCTTTGATCCGTACGCCCCAATTGTTTGCCCCTCCAAAATTGCGACCAAGAACCGCATAACTCGCATGTCCGCAACAGTTGGAGCAGGAAGACAATCAACTAATCGGTAAGTAGTCACTACTGTTATATTTAACTTGCTTCCGCTGTTCCATGATGCTTGATCCCTTAACTAGTCTAAGAAGCTCTATCCAGACCATATGACGCATTAGTTGATCACCGAACTGAAGATTTCGGTTACCTTCATTTCTTATGAGCATAAACAGATCGTCACACCGCAAGCTCCTCGTTATCCCCATAAAATCCAGCTCATTATACTGTGATCAGTTCCCACGGGGACGCTGCGCTGTCTACCCATTGATATTCGATCGACAGCCGGGTTTTGCTATTGAATTCTCTTAAATCATGAGCCAGGGTGTTCAGAAAATCACAATTTCCGTCTCAAGTGATGACGAAATTCTGGGAATCGTTAAAAGCAAGGTATGTACTAATTCCATGTACTTTGAGCACAGCTAAAGATTTCTCAGGGAATCTGCGACGAGTCGGCAACTCTGAGATGGATTCCCGTGAACATAGGGGACCCAACAGAGCCATCTTCCGAGACAGCTGCGGTCATAGTCGATCTTACTACTAGTAGAGGCGCACTCCGTATCTACGATAAATCAACAGACTCGCTGATTGGAGGTGTATTCATGGATGTGGATTCTGGTCGGACGATGGTTCCATGGAGCAACTCATGGTGTTTCAGAGCATCGGGCTCTCCACGACTCGCATACATTGAGATGGGAAAGAAATAACAGTGAACTACATAACACGATGCCTCCATTTGATGAATTGTTTTTTCAAATTGTCCGTAATCGGCATATTGATGAATGGTGAAATGTTTTGATAATATGGGTCGGTTAGATAAATTGGACCTGCAATCAGTCCAGACAGAGCTGCGACGATGACATCGTTGGCTCTCAACTGATACACGTCGCCAGCAAGATAGGACACGTCGCCACTAAGGGGAACTGAATATGGTAAGTACTAATTTCCGCAATACGTTACACCCTGCTCAACGAACCTTGCGCAGTTTTGACTGAATCTGAATTGCCTGTCCCGCCGACCATGGATGATGCTTCCTCAACCAGAAGTCCAAATTGCCATGGATCTGTAATGTATCAGCCTTCTCCTTTTTTAGTGTATTTCTTTAATGCTACCTAAGGCCATCTGCCTGTTTGATAACTCATCATTGGGCGACGGAATTCGAGTATCAAATGATGGAAGCAGGCTCTCCGCATCCAGAAATTCACTTTGTCTTTTTCTCTTCCCTCTATTTGTGGTCTGTATGGTGAAAATTTCTGGGAGATACTTAGTAACTCTTAAAACATATGGGGACGTCTTACCATCTTGCACAGATGGAATTCGTCCAACAGAGCCCTCCACGGTATTGGGACCCTCCACGGTATTGCCCAAATTTTCAGGTATTCTCCCCGGAATTTTCTTACTTGAACTTCGTGGGGATAGCATATCTATTAAGCTTAGCCTAGATCAATGTGTGAAAGATTAATATGCAGACCTATGATAATTTTCCCTTTATCATTTCCTTCGCAAATATTCGCAATGATGCGAATGAGTTTATTTCTCAGGGACTCGGAAAAAGAGCAGGTTTGCTTTTCAAGAAATCGATGGAAGCCCGTTATAAAGTCGTACTTTTTGATGTCTTGGAAATGATTCTCTGAAAGAGAGAAACAAGCTAAGATGAAGGAATCCACTCGACTCGTTTCTTTCTCGGAGATGGAATCGGTGTCAGATTTATCGTTGCATAAAAAACTCCACAGGACTTCCTCTCCTAAACCCCTCTGTATAGACAGCATTACGTTTTTTTTAAATAATGATATTTTTGAACTCTTCTCAAATGTTGATACTTGATACGTTTTTAACTTCTTATTGTCGTCTTCCAACTGTCTTCTGATTCTCTCAAAGTTACCCAGGATTTCCAACATCTGAGAGTAAGTTTCGGTTTCTACATCTAGACCATAGAGAATAGTTTCTAGATCATGTGGCGAAACCGAGTCACTTTTCAGTAGAGTGAACATGTTGAGAGAGCCAGAAGAGCAAGCCAGAAAAGGGAGGCAGAAAAGGGAGGCAGAAGAGGGAGGCAGAAGAGGGAGGCGGAAGAGGGAGGCAGAAGAGGGAGGCAGAAGAGGGAGGCAGAAGAGGGAGGGAGAAGAGGGAGGCAGAAGAGGGAGGGAGAAGAGGGAGGGAGAAGAGGGAGGGAGAAGAGGGAGGGAGAAGAGGGAGGGAGAAGAGGGAGGCAGAAGAGGTGGGGAAACAGGAAAATTTTACAAGTGGATTCACCAAGCAAACTAACGCCGAAGATCTTACCAGGTTTAAACTACTTCTGGTTTCCAAGAAGGGACAAGCTTTAATTTTCGGGAAGTCGAGCGCAAAATACATCATGCCTAAATTGGAAATTACGGCCAATACATAGCGACAGCCATTCAGACAAACACACACAGAGAATAATTATAATTGACAATGATTCGGTGCCTAGGCCTCATTTTGCAGAAAAGTACCTTCAAGATGATATCTTGCTCGCCGGATTCGTCGCCTACCCTTTTATAAGCGGCTATGGCTAAAATGGACAAGAAGAAGCTCGTCACCAGCAGCACGATGACTATAAAGATGTCAGCCTTGTCCCAGCCTGCCTCATCCCAATTTAGTACAGACCAAATCAAAATTTCCTGCATTGAAACTTGATCAACATCATACTGAGAGTTTTCTGGATAATGCGCGGAGCATATGATACGACTGGTGTAAAAAAGCCTGGCGCTCCTCCTCCCCCTCCGAGCGATTGATAAAATACAAACATCAAACTCATTAAGCCTTGCATTATTTCAATTCAGACTGCTTATGTTGCATACGGTGTGCCGGATTTACCATCGAATCAATTACCAAATTGTGCAACCATGCGATCAGATCTTTGGACAAGTATCTCTGCGTGCTGTGGGCTATTTCAGGTAAGCTAAGCCCTGTTTATAGCGACGTATCTAATTTAAGTCTTAGATTTTCAAAGCCCCTTCAAATATCACTGTACAAGCAATACATTACGTGCACAGAAAGGATATTGAGACTGCAGTTACCGAAGTATATATTACATCGTCATTTCGGCAACAATGGAAACGGATATCCTACGAGGAGCTAATTAAGATGAAAGGAGGCAAGGATGCTGTAAAGAAGTTCTACGGATGTGTTTGAGACTGCGGCCAATTTTAGTTGATTGCTATAAAAGCTGTACGTAGACGTCTATCTTCTCTGTAAGATTATTGTATATAGTGCGAATACTCTATCTTCGTCTCTTTAGATACAACGACAAGGATTTCAATCCTAAACCAGAACACCGGACAGTGAATACTTAATTGGCTCGTACTCGTAAATGGCTCCTACTAATTTCTCTGTAAGACCGCACAACGGCCGGTAATTGAGTTACAAATGCATCCACAGGCCACAGAATGAATCCTGCACAATGCTCGTCACACACGGCATCCATTAGTTGCAGCTAATATGCAGGTTGCAGAGTTCTAGTGACAGCGAATCGAAGTACATATAAACGCTAGCGTTAGTCGCATACGCCGTAGAGAAACTGGAGTTTCTCTTCGCTTCTTGCGCGTACTATCCAGGACTACGAGAGCTCGGATCGCCTGGTGCTTAGTCTAAGCATTAAACGGGACTGCTCTTTCGCGAGGCCATCCTAAAATGACTAGCCAGAGGTCCATGAGGAACCTCGCCTCATACCTTAGTGAGCATGCATAGCCTCTTGGCTTAGACTAATCGTCAAGCAACACTGCTCTTCCGTGTAATCATTGGCTAGTTATCCTTGATAGGCCTAGCCATGCTCGAGAGCTGAAGGCCTAGTACCAAAACAAATATTTCTGTTAAGCACTAGAGGGCGGGCAAGTTTCAAGCCAATCTGAAAAAAGTAGCAAGGATCTGTATGAGCAAACCAGCGATGCCGAAATGCCGCAACATGGGGCCACGACTAGGATAAACAAGGAGTTTTGAAAAATGAAAATAACAGGCTGAACGAGCCCAGATTACCTGCAGGTTTTAATCAATTAGAACAGTCCAAACTTTGTAGTATTTAGAATACCTCACAATCTATATATTAGTCTTTCATCGCTCACTCCCATCTGATAATTATATCAATTTGCATATTTCATTCACCTATAATCGTCAATAGAGAAGAATGTGTGACCATAAAAAGGTTGCATGCCCATGTGGCAAGAGACAAGTTATACTAGTCACCTTTTGGTGTGAGAAATATGCAAGGACCACAAAACCTTGTCCGCCAAATATCCAGGGATATGGAAAGCTTCTATGCAATGGTAAGTTTCTTGGAGAACAATATATTCTGTTATCTGACCAAGTTGAAGATTCTTGTCTGGGAATATCCACTGGGAATTAAACCGAGACATGCTTGTTCCAGTTTATCAGTTTGTCCCTTGTAAGTGTTAGAACAACCTGACCATGCGTCACAATGCTTAAAACTGAACATGCTTCATCTGGTTATAGTATCGAACGAGGCCAACGACTTTGGCAGCTACGGATGGCGATCTGTTCCGTGACACAACTAAAATTGACAGTTAATCGAGTTAATTCCGGGCTTCTTAGGGGATTTCTAACTTGTGTAGCCTTCCAAATGCTATGACCAGGGGTTTAATCAAATACCATGGTGCCAGCAAAGCCGCTATCACATTGTTAGATAGTGAATACTCAAATTTTGATCGTATTAGAATTTTCATCTTCGTAGCTTTGGTGTAAGACGGTAAAATGGTCCGGTAATTGAATTACAGGCATCACAGACGACGGAATGAATCCCGGATACTGCTCATTAAACACGCCATCCAATGGTGGCAGTTGAGATGCGGATAGTGGTGTCCTAGAGCAAGAACTCCGCATAAAAGTTATTCGTAGTGGAGTCCGTGTTAGTCCAGGCGCATGGGTCTCGAGTTACGGCTGATATGTAGAAACGACTTTCATGGATAGCTCCGTTGGCTGTATGCAGCTATCTGCAGGGGACGAGCGTCTCATTGCCAGCTGTAAGCGACAGTGTATGACAACAGCCAAATAAGCTAATGATGATTTATATTAGTATATGCATTAGATTACTTAACTAATATATTCGAGCAGTTCTGTAGACAAGGAAAGATAAATATCTATAATGCCTTGCTCGTTGAGGTTCACAGAACGTGAACGAGTACGACTATTACATAATCGTACCAAGTGCTGCTGGCCATGGAAAATGCGGAGTTGGCGGGGAGCCCAGACGACGGTACCTTTTTGAAGGATGAAACGGACCGCATGATGACTTTCTTCCAGCAAGGATTCGTAATTTTACCTTGGGGTCAACCTCCGCCGGAGGTAATAAGGGAAATTGATGAAGCTATTAGGACGGAAATGCCCGCCAATGAATACTACATCGCAGGCATATTCAATTCTGAGTTATCGAAGGTGCTGATCAAGTTTATGACGTATAACATCTCCACAGAAAAGGTATACGTTCCATATCCATCAAATACCTAGCTAATTTGGTATTAGAATCAATATATCTACTACTCTCTGCTTGGCGGAGGAAACCCGGAAGAGATGCTACAGGGGGAGCCAATACTGGTGGACTGCAGCAAAGTTTCGGACCCACCACAGGTCTGTCGGCTTGGCCCATATGGTTATGATAAAGGCGAGACTGTGAGCCTACTGCGTAAAATCCGAGGCACGGTGCGCGTTCCTTATTACCCGGGGTCGCAGAAGCTGGACATGTTTCAATTTCAAGCGATGAGGCACGACGAGCGACATCCACCTCTAGAATTAACATTGGGGGATATTATTTGCATTGATTCAGATCTTTGCATTGATTGGCCATTACCAGACAGCGACGGTATTTTTGTGTTAATGACAGTTGCAAGAGGAGACCCGCGGCTGGGAATACAAAGAGATCGGCCCTCCATGCCTGTCGTCCCTTTCCACTCCACGACAGAAATCAGGTTCCTCGAAGAACAATCTGGACATCCTCGACGGCAATAAGCAGTTCATCACACACAACGGTCACTGACTGTCTCACCCATCGCCGTTTCCTGGTTTTGGAGGCGTGGCCATTTTACACCAATCAAAATTTTGTAGTTTTCTCGCATTATTACCATCTTGAGAGAGTAGCGTTTAAAATGCGGAAGTCGTGGACTACATCGTAAAAGATGACATAAAATATCCAACTGTTCGAAGTTGATTTCCTTTAGTCGTTCCCGAATAGGAAGAAAAGCACCTGTTAAGGCCGGTATCTGTAATTCGTTCTCAATAATTTTCTCCTTCATTGTCACCGTAATCACTGATCGCAGGATAGGTAGGTCAAATCCATATTTCTTTGCGAATTCGGGAAGCTTTCCTTGTGAATTAAAACCTCTATTCTTGAGTATTCTCCACCGATCCGGACGGGTCCAGTCTATGTCAACAAACTCGGCAAGGTACTGACTGGTCACTTCATGGGATTCAAGTGTATAGACGAGGGATGCCTCCATGTTAGACGAGGATTTGAGTGACAGGAATAAGCGCCGATTTTCTGTCTTGGTCACCATCTCAGCGATGGTACGTGCCCTGTCACGCTCCAAAAACGCCTCCAATAAAGAAATTCGCTTTTCTATGAGTTTCAGAAATGAATGTGCCCCAAATGCTTTTTTTTTCCTGTCTGGTGGGGTCGATATGTCCAACAATTCCGCCTCTAGCCTCTGCATGCTGGGTGCAATCAATCCTGACGGATCTAGAAGCTGATAGAGCCCCGTAGGAATAATATGCAAACTCTAGCCGCCAAGGAATGTGGACTGATAGTGTCTTGTTCAACACTTACTTGAGTTTTAGGGTCTGTGCGACGTGTTTATAAGTCGGTTGAAATAAATTAGTCATCTGACAATTTGTGTGCCTAGAAGGTGCTCGTCTTCATAGCCAGAAAGTAGGTGGTATGCGACTAAGCCTATTGTGGCTGAAAGTGGGGTCTGATCGGATTTTGAAAGGGGCTGTGTGACGCCGAATGTGACAGACCTAAAATCACACCTTCCAACTATAACCCAGACTGAGATAATTGATCAGCGTTCAGCGTTCGCCAATAAGTGGGTGACGATAGAAGACGTAAAGGACCCGCTAATTATTGCCAGCGATAGATGGTGGTCTGCGGCTATGCTGTGCTCTCGTTTAAGTGGGGAATAGATTGATTCAGCGAGGACCACTCTCTGGTATAAGATGATGATGCTAGGACTTCCATATTCCTGGGCACCTTTACCCATAGCGTGAATATCACTGTCTTGAAATACAAACAGATATAATGTTCCTATCACCCTCTCTTTCCGGTTCCGCTACAACGCTGGTCGATCACGTAGCGCCTTCGAGTCAACCCTGCACACCGGATGAACCAATCGATGCCGAAACTCCAGCATGCTGGCGACTTAGCGAAGTTGAACTTGCTATGAGAAACGGAGACAAGAATACTATCTGTCGTCTCCGAAAATACCAACCGTTCAATTTTGAATACGTTCATTTGAAGCCTGATCTCTCTAGTCCACAGGAGACTGACCAACCAAAAATACCTGAGCCCTGTCCTTCTCTCGGACCATTTTTTACCAAAGGAAATTTCTATAGCTTACTGGAATACGTCATAATGGATTTGTTTCGCAAAGTACCATTTGAGGATTGGGTACAAAAAGCATTAGGACTATCACCTTGGTCAGTTATGCATCTCGAATACTGTTACCGGTTTATATGCTATCAATTACATTCGTTTATCCACTATCGTTGTGGTGAAGGAATTGAGGGATTCAAGCAAAATGCACTAGTAAGCGAAGCCTCCTATATCCAAAATTAGAGCTAATTCTTTTGAGATTTTGTCCTGGACAAACCCATTCACATCTTCCATTGTCAGAAACGCATGTACGCGTATTTTTCCATCGCACATTGAATTCGATTTTACATCTATCACAGCACCCCTTCAGGATGTTTTGTCTTCCCAGGACAACATATCAGCGATTTTGCAGAGGCTTGATGCGTTGGAAGTACGTTTTCACCGCCCCTCTTCCTTCCGCTGGTCGTGGGGTTTCAACACCGCCACACCACTTATGTGCCGTCTCTGCGAAGAAAAGGTCGAGAATGTAGCTGCTTCGATGACACACTACGATCTGAAGCAATTTCATCGCATTACCCAGTCCGGAATATATCAAGGGGATACACATCTGAGTTCGCTGGGCAGGAGGTGGAATACACTCAGCCAGGCAGTAGAAGAGTGTGCCGCTGTTGAAGAATATCAAGAGAAGTTGGTGGAATTAGTGGTAGTAAGTGATGTATTCCTTTATATAACCCAAAACTGACAAAGTGATGAGATATTTAAGTTCCTTCGAAACTTCTACTCTATGAGTGCTGTACTGCAGGGCCTCAGTGCTGCTGGTTTTCAGTCGCGTAGATTGAGGAAAACGGTATACGCAATTGATTATACTGGCAATTATGAAGAATATCGGCGCCGTATCAACACGAAACCGGCTCTTCATTTCCTGCTTCCTCTTGTCAAAGCCGTTCGCATGGGAGATGAGAACGCCCTGGCTGCGATATTCACGTTCAAGAAATACAAAATGCGTTATCATAACCCTGTTTTAATTCGTCTTTTGTCCATATATGCACTATCTTAAAAAGAATATTGTTTGATCTACACATAGCATAATTGAGTGAAGTTGATCGCCTAAATAAAGGGCTGACCCAAGAATTTACATCGCCCACCTTAGATGGGTTGCTCTCTGCTAGGCTTTTATTCAGGGGCTAGTTATTGCTTTTTCCTCGTCAACATTGAAAAGGGGGAACAAAACCAGCATCCTGCAGCCGGTAGCTCATAGACCCATTTTAGAGCCGTAACTGTGTATGCAGCCAAGCTACTAATAAGTGGCGAGAACACGATCCCATGTCCTGTATAGCTGCAGCTGAAGCAGCGGTATGATTAGTACTTTAAGCTGGGTTTCCCATCGGTTTGTCTCATTTCTTAGCAACTTTCTCTTCAATCCTCCATTTTCAATCTTCAACTTACACAAAACTTCATATATCATTATGAGTGCACTATCCAGCCACATATACATAGATTTTCTATCTATATTACAGCATTTCTTTCCTCCTTTAGTTGGCCTTTTTTACATGATAGGACTGGGAGTAACTGTTATAATCACAAAAAACAAGCCACGAGCGCCTATTTTTATTCAGAACACCACTATCAGCTTTATCTCATGTGTACTGATTCTATACGGCATCGACACTGCAATCTTGATATGGAGGAATTTTGATGATCGTTTTCCAAGCTCCGAACCCGATATCGTGTTTTCTTGTGCATCGTTTTTGCTATGGGTTATAATATTACAATTCGGATACAAAAATCCAGCATATCTGTTTAGATTTCCAGCTGGAATCTGTTGCATGACTTATGTGGCTGTAGAGAGTTTATTGATGTCCAGTTTCATCAAAAACCAGCTATTCAACTATAGATATACGATTGCCCAAATGACTATTCAGCTCTCTCGGCTAGGCCTTTTGGTTTTCTCATCTATCATTATCCTCGCTCAAAGTTTTCAATCGCGTACGAGGATACCGAGGAATGATCTTGACATGGAGGCCCAGCCGCTTTTGTCGGGCGCTATTGATGATGAGGTTGAGGGACGAGAGCAACTTGGTCGTCAAGGAGGGCTGTCCAAGATATGGAATACATTTATCTATATTATTCCATTATTTTGGCCAAAAGGTCAGCCAAGACTGTTGTTACTATATATTACAATTTTCGCCTATGTGCTTCTTGAGCCTCCAATCACCGTGATGGTTTCAATGCAGATGGGATACATAACCGACAAGCTCAATGAATCAGGCACTTACCCATGGAAAGATATTATATTTCTTACATTTTACTACGTCCTGCAATCCCCGGCAGGCCTTCCAAACCTAAAGGAACTTCTATAGAGGCCACTTTCCAACTCGTTTCATTTGAAGCTTACCACAATGTCACATTACAAGATAATGGACCTATCCAGAGACTTTCACAATAACAAGAACTCTAGCCAGCTACGCGAGTCTGTTGATCGTAATACAAATATTAGCTTTCTTATGCGTACCATAATTTTCCATATCCTTCCAGCAATTACTAATCTTGTTCTGACACTTGGTGTGCTTCTTGCCTTTTTAAGCCCATATATAGGGCTAGTAATCGCAGCCATGGCGATTGTTTATTTTTGATCGTTTGCACAACTTTTGGCTAGAATATTTCCAGCAGAAAAAGAAAGAAACTCCATGGAAAAGAGAGAAGCAACTATCTGCTACCAATCAATCTCTCACTGGGACACCGTTTCATACTTTAATTGCAAGAATTATGAGAAAGAGAGGTACTTACAAGCAGTTCAAAAGCGTATAAATTCTTCTATCTCGCTCTTTCTTTTGGCATCTACACAATCTGCCATATAATCCATTATTTTTTTGAATGGATTTCTCAGTACCTATCTATTATCAGGACTCAAGGCATCTAAAAGTTTTATAATATACACTTCCTTCTAGAATCAATTTACGGGCCATCTCAGTATGCTCCTACAGCTCTTTGAGTCCATTAATTCAGATATAATCAATACAGAAGCCATGGTAAAGCTTTTTCGACAGGAAGCATCAGTTATAGACAGCCCAAAAGCAAAGCCTCTGATATTGAAAGAAGAAGATATGGAATTCAAGGATGTTATATTCATAAGAAATGGAGGTGAAGATCAACGTACTTTGGACAAAGTTTCATTCCACTACCAAGCCGGCCAAACGGCTGCATTGATTAGGAAGAGTGGAGATAATAAATCAACATGTCTAAATCTGCTACTTCACTTCTATGATGTGACTAGAGGGCATATCAAGATTGATAGACAGAACATTCGTGGTGTGACAATAGAGAGTCTTCAAGATCTCATTAGAATTATTCCCCAAGATCCACAACTCTTCAACAACACAATATTGGAGAATATTCGGTACACCAATAAACATACCACAGATCAGGACATATATAAGGCATGTAAGGCAGTTGAGCTGCATAACAGGTTCATTAGTCTTCCAGAGCACTACCATACTGTCATTGAAAAGCGTGGTGTCAAATTGTCAGGTAATGAACGTCAGAGGCTGGCAATCGCCCGAGTTCTCGTCAAGAAGAATACACGAATCTTTCTTCTAGATGAGGCTACAAGTGCAATTAACAATGAAACCAAAGCTTTCGTTCAGCGCAATTTGAGTCGGCTGACCGCGGGTTGAACTACCATTATTATCGCACATCGATTATCTACTATTGTTAACGCAGACAATATTCTCGTTATGAGAGATGGTAATATAGAGGAGCAGGGAAACCATCAAAAACTGCTTGGAAGCGGGGGCTATTATCAAACATTGTGGTCCAAACAGACGGCGTCAGCAAATAAAGCCGAGCACAGTGTTCCGTCGCAGGTCGACTCGCAGATCGACTCGTAGACCTTACATAGTCCATTTTACATATATTGTTTGGTCCAACAATTTTTGTCTGCGCGATCTCTGTATCTCAACGTAGTCTAATCTTCCCATCATGCATATCAACCAGGTCAAATGATCCGGCACTTAGTAGCAGCACTGTATGCTATAAGACCTAGGACAACTACAGATATATATGGTCAATGGTGCCTCTTTTGTAGCTATTAAATCTTCTCGACAAACTTAAACTAACCGGCGTGCTCAGAGATCTCCAAGGAAAGACTTCGGCGCGGGAACCAGCCCGTCAATCCATACATCAAATATCATCAATAGTCCAATCAGATATGAAGATTTCGGCAATTCTGGGCATAACGGAGTCTGCTACGCTCAAAAGAGATGCCCAAGGAAATTACATTGGCGAAGCTGATGGTACCTGCTAAGCCCTTTCCCGTGCTATGGCTTAGCGATATTATGGCTAATAATCAACATTATGGAGTACCGAAAACAAAGGAAATATACTAAACGTATGCAGTCAAATTTCACATTCATGCGTCGGCATAATCACAGAATGTAAATGCAAACCGTGAGGCGTAAGACACAAGTCCCTGGAGATGACCCTTCAGCCACTGGTTGTTGGTGAATAGCGGATGCTACCAACATTAGTAAGGTCTTACATCCCTGCAATATTGGATCTTACCTCTCGTAGCTTCTGAATTGGTGCTTCTGAGACAACAGACAAAAGAAATTCCAATGCATCAGAGCCATCCCACCGTTCAGTGTTATCTAATTCCGCATTACTACCACCTTTCTTGTATACTTGCATCAGCTCCATGGTAATGACTTCCAGCTCTTTGGAATATTGCCCAATTTTGTCTGCTTGTACCTCCTTACATTCTTCTAGGCGGGCTATAGAGCTTAGTAGCGTATTCCTTCGTGGAGGAAAGAGAACTGACCAATTTTCACCTCTCCCTCTGACGTACAGAGAATATTTTGAGAACTTAGACAAGGATGCTGAGTGTTCCGTTCTGTGAGATACAGGAGCCCATCTAAAATCTTGGCGGTTTGTTAGCTGTGTAACTCATTTCTGTGGTAAGCTTACCTGGGCTAGAATTGCCGCAAGCTGAATCTCATCCAAGTCGGCGTCACAAGTGATAATTTCATCTAATGAGATACAAATATCACTGTGAAAAATATAGAGCGATTTGTCATACACATACGCTTCCAGAGCTGAAAGAACATTGGGGTGTTGTAATGATTCAAAAAGATGAAGTAGCTGATCTATATCTTTATGACGGATGGTCCTCACACCAAAGAGTTGTGAAGGGCGGGCACGATGAGCTACTACTGCCAAAGGGCCAGCAAGGTCGCAGTCGTAAATTTTGGTAAAAGTGTCCCATGGTGACTCGGATTGTCGAACTACTATCATCTCGGCCGTACTCTTGCTGGATTTATGTCTTTCTCTGTCCTCTTCACTATTAAGAGAGATGCCATTTGTCTGATTGTCCTGTTGATTTGTTTCATGTATAACCTTCTCGGAAACGAGTGAGGGAGGTGTAATCAAATCTTGAGAAGATCTGTTTTGCGACTCCTCCGTCAGTTTCTCAACTGCCCTATCATTGACTTCCTTTTCTGTTTGGAGCCCAATAGGTGTCTCTTTGAAGATGGCGCGGAAAATTTGAGTGACGATGTCCTCGTCGATACGACCTGGCGGGCTGAACACTCCATCTAGGTGGTGGATATGGTTTGGGCTTATAATAAGTATATGGCCCTTCTGAAAACCATCCTCATCAATAACATCCAAGAAGTTAGATAGCGTTCCTCCGAAGGTGTTCTTTTGGTTCAAGTCAGCGACATTCATATCCTCTAGAAACACGATAGACCGAGGAAGAATCCGAGAAAATGGCTTGCTTAGCCCATAGTCACTTCGATTTGAACTAAGAATGTAAATGTTCAAATCATATAGACCAGCGATATGAGGATAATTCTTTAGGGCTGGAAGGTAATAAAAGGCTCTTGTGAAAACAAGAGATAAGAAAATACCACCTAAGGTAATAGCGTATATATAGATAATCTCCATGCTTCAGAAAGTTAGTTCTAAATAAGCAAGTATCTACATGGTACTGTTCCAAAAGCTTGGACGGGGTGATGGTCCATTTATAGCACTGCTGAAGTTCACACTTCACATTGATTACACTTAATAAGTTCATTGGAATGTGCAAGGAACTGGGGTTACGTAATCATTGACCAGAGTCCTTTGAAACATGCGACGAACTCCAAAAAGATGTACTTTTGAGAACGTCTCTTATTCGCTATTGTGAAGCATTAATACCAGTAGGGTTTACTGTTGCCTACACCGCTATCTGGGTGGCAAGCAACCATTGAATATCTCTGCATCTATCCATAGGAAGTACACAAGCCAACAACTAAGCAGTAGAGATGTCAGCAGCCGATTTATAGGCATAGGAAATGATCTAGCTGCACGTTGACAATAAATATCTAATCGACTTCACCAATATATATGCCTTCAATATAACAATTTCTGATACGCCGGGAGCAGTTAGTTACTAGGTTCTAGTGAATGAGGCACTTGATCTCTTAAATCTACTTGGTCGTTGGCTGGGATGCAAAGGGTCCGTAATTAGAACGTGATTTCTGATTGAATTTTTATGCGCACAAAGCCCTGTCCAGGGAGTTGGATTGGACGTACCCAATCTCAATGACGTCACACCCGCAGAAAGTTGGTTGGAAATTCCAACGAAACCGCTCCAAGTCACTATCCAACGCAGTTCACCTCAGCGACGCCATGGAAGCTGAATCCAAGGCCACGGAGTGACCACGTCAGGGCGCTTCTTAGTAACCCACACAGCACGTCCTCGCGGTTCGTCACGGAAGTAGGTGAGCAGTAACACCAGGTGGCAGGTTAGCCATAGCGCTGCCACTGCCTAATAATTGAAAACGATTGTTGCTAAGAATTGTGATTATTCACTTGAATCTGAGTATAGGAGTAGAATGCCAGAGTTTGTCTCTTAGGATTGGCTGGCTTGAGTAAGCACCCGCCCTTGATTTAGCGAACAGATTAATGTTTCAATTAAAATAGTTAGCCACTATTCGTAGATATTTAACTTGCCGCAGGTTTCATAACACTGTAAATCAAGTTTATTTGACCATTTACGAGTCTAGGGTGCTAACATTGAGATGATCTATATATAGAAAATTAGAGTTACCGCCGGAAGCAACAGGTCAATCTATAACTATGGAAGCGTGATAGCTAATTAAACGTATAATCTTACTGTTTCGATAGCCGCCCGGACCCGCTGTTGATGGTATTAGACTTTATGACTACTTAGATAATGGTTAGTAACTTCAGATAGCGTCTATAATTAGGCATCTTGTACTGTATGAATAGCAGCTATATACTGTATATAACTATGGACAATCGATATATTATTTTCTCACTTTTCGCGTCCATTTTGGCCGTATTATCGACACATCCAATACATTGACTCAAGAACATCTACATCTGGTTTGCAAAATGGCTTACGTAAGTTACTTGCACTCTTCAACAGTTATTTCAATTGACGATATCTATGTCGCGTATCCGTGGAGTGGCTTGAAAACTGTGGCTTGGCGATATTGTGGCTGGAATGGGACTATGATCAGAACAGACTAGATCTGCCTATAAATAGTAGCTGGAGTTGTAACTTTCAAGAGTAGAGAATCCAATCATTTTTATTCCAAATTTAACCTGTGCAATTCGGATATATAGATTGTGGGCGAATATCATTTATTAATGATCAGTTATGGTGTATTTAGGGCGATTCGCCAGCCGATGACAGTTACATTAATTAATTATGGAAGACCACCACGCTAGCCCTCTATACGCACGGTGTCTTCATGCAATAACTGAGTTTCCTTTCAGAGTCGCAACCCCACCCGTCCCGACCGGCGCCTGCGGTGCGCCCCATCGCCACCCAACTTCCATTCCGAGAGTCCCTTCCTCCCGCGAAACTCTCAGGGATCAGTCATCAACCACCACCTCCAACAATCCGAGATCCATCCCCCATGGCCTCAACAACCCCGAGGGATGTCTATGCCTCATTATAATCCCTGCATCACGCTTCACAGAAGGGTGCCCACCCTTCTCCAAATCTGCCCTTGCCCGACCGATCCCGACTCGCCTCAACCGACACCGCCATCACTTTCATCGCCCAACATACTGAACATCTCTATGATAAACGTGGTTAACCACTGTCCCCCTTGGAATATTTTTGCACACCTTCAAGCTAGTATAGGTATGGAAGTGATCAGCATACTAACCATCCACCAGGTGCTTCTATGATGCTAACGATTCATCATGGAACTCCGGTTCCCACTTTGCTTTAATAAAGCTGCGATTTGATCGTCCTTTTCCTGCAGCGTTGCCCTATATTCTGCTTCCAGCTGTTGTTCGATCTTTCTCAGGAAATACGCGGACCCATGTGGACATTTGAGGAGAACATCGACACATCCATCGGCACACCGCAGTTGCCTTTTCATGGAGTCAAGCTGTTCCTTATCAACAGGATTCAATGGCATTTGCAAGTCAAGACGGGTGCTGTAGTGTTTCAATATGTGCTTCTGCTGTTCAGCAAAACGCATCGAAACTTCAATGTGGCACTTCGTCATCTTCTGCAAATCCATTTGACTTTCTTCGTGCTCCAGTGTCAAACTCTGTAATTCCTGGCGGAGAGTTTCATTTGTATTCATTAGCTCACTCAACGATTTTTTTTGTTGAGAAATCTCGGCGCTCATTTCGTTCCGAAGGCTGATTGAGCTATAGAGGTCCGTCTGCAATTGTTGCGATAACAGTTGAGCTTCCTGGAATTTTTTGTCCATTTTTCTTATGTCTGAATTTGAAAGGTAGTGTAATGTGGATAGTATCTAATCAAGGGGGGTGGCACCCAAATTTATGTTGTAGCAAAGTAAAGACCGAGATGTCTCGCTGGTAGATAGTAAGGGAACCATCGTTTGACACGAAAAAAAGGCTCAACAGGGCCAAATCCATACAAATGAGTTGAATCGAAATAACGCTAATTCTGGTCAATGTCGAGGCGAACTTCATTCAACTGAGCAGAAAACACGCGAAGGCTGATGAACCGTGGAAATCAACGATGGCATGGGTCCCAGAGTCGCATCTACTTTTACCGATCCATGGTTCTCCCGAGCAGTGGCCGTACCCGATACGGAAAGCCGAAAAGAAAATTATAGGTCACAAATACTACTAAGCACATACAGCACGTACAATAGAATGAATGATTGGCTTCGGCATCCTCCGGGCTAGACGGTTCGACATGTGAGTCCATCGAGGATCGTGTTCTAACGCGACGCATGCAAGAATCCCGGATCGGCTCCACCTGCGCTTTGCCATCCTACTAGGTCTTACGGATCGGCATTCTTGATTACCTAATCCACAAATAATCACCTTCAGCTCTCATTGGCTCAACCATAAGGTAATAATGCAGGGGTACGAAACCGCAGTTTCTGGTGAAGATGTCGAGGTGCTGGCTCGCGGTTTCGACTATTGGTCTGTGCTACTTCCGAATAAAGTTAGCGAAATATGGTTTTTCTAATCATAGTGCCGTGTCTAAAAGGCACCTTGCTGCTCGGTCATAGCGGAAAGCGCTTTGTAGCAGTGGGCATCAAGCCCAGGAAGGACGGACAGGAGGCAGAAACCAAACGCCACATATCACTAGCCACACGCACAAGGCCAGCTAGACCCAGCCACCGGTACAACTCGCCGATGGGGAAAATTAATGGAATCAATAGAGCAACAACTTCTAAAATGTACATTGAGTAAGAGAAAGCTAAATCTTCTGAGCAGCACGACTTCTTTCTTACGGCTTTCCCCCAATTTATCTGCTGCAAAATCGAAGCTACTCCCAGTTCAAGTGCGAGCTTGACACCCGCTCAGTACGGCATAAAGCCTCAAATTCCTCTAGCAGATCACGGACCCGCTTTTGGTGGGACTAGCAGCTCTACACTTCACTCTCTGATGGCCATTCAAGTTTGTTTGGCCGCTTATCTAGGGGATGAAACCGTTGATGATCTATATATAAAACATTAGAATTACCGCTGGAAGGCAAGTAGCCAAGCCATAATTAACCCCCATAACCTCCTTGTTTCGTTAGCCGCCCAGACCCGCTTGTCCAGGGCGCTGAGCTGTATGACTATCTCAGCTAGTGAGTGGTTAGCACTACTGAGACAGCATCTACAAACTCGGCACCGTCACACAGTACGAGTGACGGCTACGTGCATAAACTGGATTGAATCAGTGCTTGCAACCGCCATTAATTATCTATTAAACGTTTCAAATGAAATACTTAGCCACTAATTTTAGAATCACAGGTTTCATAACAGGCGACTCTCCCAAATTGGCAGGCTGCTATGGCTCAAAATACATTGTAATGGGTTCTAAGGACAAGAAATAGATTAAACTATGCAAATCTGTCAATCCAAGGTCTCCACTTTTAAAGTCTTAGTTCTCACAATGGGCGGATATCCGAAACGGATCCTGTTATGGTTCAATATTCCGTTTGAAGATGGCGCTTTCTAATCCATACGCTGTGACAGTGAAAACTTAGGAAGGATCCCAAGAAAGGACAGCCGGCTAAAATGCTCTGCTCTACTACCTTCATCGGAATCTTAATATAAATCCTGAGCTGGCGTATCTGTCAGCTCCCAGTCAATATTCGTTATACACATTTATCAAGAACGCCTCTTAAATTACCTCTTTAACTCACCATACAACTTCTCTCAGCGAGAATTCGCTAGCATGTCTTTCCTTGGCTATGAAGGTCCGCGCGCGCGTGACCTCGCAGATGACGAGATTTTTGTTTTAACAGAATACGAAGACCACGCCACTACGTGTTACCAATGTGTTGATACTGGAAAGGGAGGTCTTCTTTTGTGTGAACGTGGCTTCCAATATGCTAGCGACGTCGCCAATTATATTTTTAAAAAAGACCGCAAGGCTTACTCTGTCGTCGACAAGGAGCACAACAAAAATATCCTAGTTCACATTCCGCGAGGCCTTAAAGCTTCTCGGCGTCTTCTCCTCGCTATTGAATACGCACGCTTGCGCCCTAAGCAACCAGACATTGATTACTGTTCAGCGCACCCTGTTGTTCCTTCATGTTTGACTAAAACTATCACTTCAACCATCAAACGTGCGCCTCGCGCTCGTCACCGCATCATTGTCTACCGACGCACGTCCTCAAGTCGTGATTCTGTATACGATTCCGATTGTCAGACTGGCTCAGTGTCCTCTAAACACACCAAGCGCACTGGTGAAAGTAGGATTAATTATAATACCTACGCGGGGTCAGTGGCACCCAAGAGCCTTGTATGTCACTGATCAAAAGTGGGAAAATTCTGAAAGTTTGTGTGGTTCACGTCAACGTTACTATGAAGGGCAAGCCTTTTCTGTGAGAGAAAAGGAGAAGGTTGTCGAAATGCCAGCCAATTGAGCATTGGATATGACTGGTTGGTTGACAGTGAGTCACGTATCCCAGAACGCCTACAGGAAAACTTTACCATCTCATCCGGTTCCGCCGTGCTCAGAAGGACGGCCGCTCAGGCGAAGAAGAAATTGTTGTCTACTGTACTGGTCGATCTCCGCACGTTTCATGGTCAGAGTACACCAGAGAGGACAAGTTCGAACTCAGTACTCGTTGAAGGTAAATTTGCGCGAATACTTAAATGACAGTGTGTCATCAGTGTGGTAAGAAGTAGGTTCTTTGGTGGGGAGAGCGACGAAATTGATCCCTTAGCGCCGAGCATAGCGAGGATGTAAGCTTCTTGAAACAAAAGGTGCCTGCAAGCCAGGCAACCAATCGCGAAATACAACCAACCACAATCTATATCTCACCCTTTCCATTTCTCTTGATGATTTATCCTGTTACACAGCAGGACACTATCACAATTCCTACAACTCACCGTTTCTCCCCACATTCCTCCCTACCACATCAAGGTTGGCCGGTTCGCCTACTGTCTAATGCAACCATGTAATCCCCACAGGCGATGAATGCATAGCTAACATTGCGACATCCCGCATGATTTCTCTGCCTGTTCAGGCCCGAACCCTATTGGACATCGATAAGCGTTTTCTCGGACAATGTCTGTACGAATTGCCCTTGATTCCAATAATTTAACAGGTCATTTATTTATTTCAACCAACATTCTGGAGATTGAGCCGGCAGACAAAGCGGTGTAGCACCATGTGTGTGCTCCGTATCCTTCAGCCGTTTCGCTTCCTCCTGAGATTTGTTTTCTGGCACGACTCCCTCGTTGAGTAAAGAAGTAAAGGACATTACAACGAGACTGATCTCGATACTCAAGATGGAACATGACTCCAATATAGAGTATGCACTGCAACTTTATCTGGAAAATCTCGATGAGTTGGAGCATCAGCAGAAGGGAAAGCAGATGGCTGGGAAGCTAACAGACTTGGAATTGGCAATCACTTTCATGCAGAATGATCTCCTCGCTGCACAGGTCTCAATTCAAGACCACGTCTTAGCTGTTAGTACTAGCACAGCGATTGCTACCGATCAGAATATTCTGATGTCTATCCGGCAGGAGGAAATCATCGCTCAACGAGATCACCAGCTGGCGAGGGGTCTGGATGGGGACGAACACGTTAACTTCGACAACGTCAATGAGAGTGAACAGGAGTTCGATAATACCGACGCAATATCTACAGTTATGGGAGACCTCATGGAGCGGATGACTCTGGCAAGCAAAGAGGATGACGGCGGCGCCTCTTCATGTTCGGCTCAAACGCATCGTGCTGTCATACAATGTGGGTCTTGTCTTGAAGATAAGGAAGCGTTCTATAGAAGTTCTTGCGGGCATGAGTACTGTCACGATTGTACTCGGCAGTTATTTCTTGGCGCAATCAAAGACGAGGAGCTTTACCCACCACGATGCTGTGGCCGAGTCATACCCCCTGGGATCACCTTGCGGATTCTAGCTTATCACGAACTTCGAGCTTTCAGTGAAAGAGCTATCGAATATTCTTCGAAGGATCGAGTGTACTGCGCAGAACCAACATGTTCTAAGTTCATTCCACCTTTCGCTGTTCGCGATGAACATGGCACTTGTCCAGAGTGTCAGCAGAGGACTCATTTACCTTGCCGAGCTCTTGCGCATCCTGGTGTTGACTGCCCACTAGACAATACTCTCCAGAATGTTTTAGCCATGGCCAATACAGAAAACTGGATGCGATGCTTTAATTGCCGAACACTTGTCGAGCTTCAGCATGGTTGTAACCATATTACTTGCCGGTTCGTTCTGATTTTCCATAACAATATCCTCGAAAGTGCACATATTGATTTTTCTCTTAAGCTGTGGTCGTGAATTTTGCTACATTTGCGGCAATGTGTGGAGGTCGTGCAATTGCCCCCTCTGGCACGAGAACAGACTGGTAGAAATGGCCAACGAAGCCGTTGACGAGGAGGTTGAACCCAATGCGGATGCCGGAGTTCGTCAGGGTCTATTTAATCGTATCGTAGAAAACCTGCGGCGGCATGAAGAGGTTGGTTGTGAACATCACAGGAGCTCACAATGGCGTTGGCGCAATCAAGGCAGCCTACAGTGCGAAGTCTGCGACTATGTTCTCCCGGAATATATATTCATGTGCACGAACTGTCGCATGAGAGCGTGCAACAGGTGCAAGAGACATCGATTAAGATGACAACAATTGTGAGTTAGGTTTCAATCGATGCTAGTTGAATAGCCTTTGTTCGATCAGGTCACATAATGGGCGGGCGGTTAAATGAGAACTGAGAATTTTCATAAAGATCAGAAATCTCTCTCTCAGAAAGTAAACAAGATAGTCAACTCAATTTGATACGTTTCTTCAATTATTAATGATTTCTTAAAAAATTGGACGCGAGCCTAGCAGTTCCGGATTCGCTGAAGTAGCTGCTCGCAGCAAGAAAAATAACTGTCGAATCAGGAACCGCACAGTGCCTTGGGGATTTGACTAACTCTACTTTGCAACGAATTATAGAGCATCGCAGTCACCATGTGGTTAAATTATCTGCTGGAACAAGAGTCGATAATATCTTCGAACGGCAACGTGGATTCGGATAGCAGCATGGACTTCTTCGGGGTGCGATAATTCTTTTTGTCTACAGTAGGCGACTTAGCTAATCAGAGCTGTTAATTTTACTCTTCCCAACTGTCGTGAAATATTTCTTAACCCGATGTCTTAGGCGTTGATGATATGGCCGTTGACGTCACAACCCGTCTCGACGGTTATGATCAAACAGAATCTTCTATCCGTCCTATTGCGACGACCGAGATGATTATGAACCTACGAACCGTTCGTAGCATAGTTTCTGGACGAGGGAGTAGTGCCATTCGAAAAGAATCCTAGTGGAGCATTATCTCCCCAATATTTTGTCCCCCAAATTATATAAATTCTTCTCCCTGCACCAGCACCATAAAGGATCTCGTACATTAAGCTACCGAGTTAAAATCTTCATTTACTTTAACTACGTACTATCTTTACTCATGATGAGCAAACGTATAACAGTTATCAATCCAGGTGCTGTCAATTGGGAACAACTAGGGCCTGTCCAAGCACGGGCTTCTAGTTCCGATGTCCAGAGCCAGAAAACTCCCAAAGAGAACATCCATGAACAACCATCAAGTCACCTAGGTAGGGAGTTTCCGGCTCCCCGTGTAGATACCACACTTGCTTGGTTCATGAATGAAAAGCCTTACGGATATGATGCTATTGTATTGGGGCATGGTTCCAACAAACTTACTTTTGTCAAGAAAGTGAGTTGCGAGAATGTGAATCGGAAGCACAAGCACCTGCAAAAAACTTCCCACCAAAATCTTGTGAATTTGATGGATATCTGTGCTACCGAAGAGGCCGTCTATTTTACGTACGAACGGCCGGGAATATCTTTGAAGGACCTGAACAAGTATTCACGACTTGTTTTTGATAGAATTACAGTGGCGACTATTTGTAGAGAGGTCCCGAGTTCAATCTAACACTATCTCTTATAGAAGCTAACAAGATTTATAGATTCTACACGGATTGATATACATACATGATGTGCTGAAAATCGGCCACGGTGAGCTCAATTGTGATAATGTATTCATCAATCAAGACGGGAGGGTCCAAATAGGTAAAATATTTCTACTTCTCTCCATCAAAGCCATTCCGCTGATGTCCACGTTAGGGGGTATCGGGGAGAGCATGTTGAAAGAGACAAACAAAAATGTGCTTTCTCATGATGTTCAAGCCGTTTGCGACATTGCTTTCGATCTTCTGGATCTGAAGAAACACTCGGACACACTGAGTATGTCATTTCTTGTCGCCGACGACTTTACAAAACCGCCAGTTGATAGTCGGCTTGAAGATCTTCTCAAGGTACAGAAAAGCATATTGAAGGGGCATCAACTGCATTAAACTAATGTGTTCGATAGCACCCATTTCTGAAAATCAGCCAGGGCCCTTGGTACTTAGCAAATCTCGAATTCACCTACACCGTAGGCTTGCAAATACAGCCACCGCCTGGACATCCGAAATTGAGCGAGAGTATTACCGAATCCGAGGACAGGTGCGCATCATAATATGATGAGCTTTATTTTGTTCATTTATCTTCGGATAACATTTAAGAGCCGGAATGAGGAGGGTTGCTAGCCTTATTTTCGTTTTGTTTACGATCAGATTCTGTTGGTTTATAAGGATTGTTTATCGTGCTTTGTTTCTCTTTCTTTCGTTCACAGAACTACCTAGTATAGATATATTGTTGACCAATCATTACATTAGCTGCAATGAAATTTTTTGGACTCGTGTTTCAGATCATTTGGGAATAAGTTTATGATTGTTTTAAATACAATCTCATACTGCTCGAGGGTCCTTCGTGGATCTCGCCGTGTTCGCCCGTGCAATGGCGAGTCGATTTCAGTTGGCTCGTAGCTAGTATCGCCTGGAATCCGCTTATTGAGAACTTAATGTGTGGGTTTTAGCGTGAAACATCATCTGGGCAATCGCCTGTTCTTGCCAGCCAGTAAATGTTTCACGCTAAGATTTTCAGCATATTTAATTGGCTGTATATAAGTGATCTAGACTATTTCGAGCCTGCTGCCTAGTAAGGGGGCTTTAGCGGTTCCTGGCGAGATTGCCCACCTAAACTTTAAATCTCTTTCTTACGGCGATCAAGATTTAGGGTTAAGATTTACAGGTTCCACGCGATTCTGTTTGGTTCGGGTTTACCCCACGACGGTCCAATGACTGAAGGTTGATGGTGCAGCCATTGACGTCACATCCCGTCTCGACAGTTGTGATAAAACAGACTCATCTACCATCTTGATTTAATGACTGAGACAATTTTAAATGTATGAACCGTTCTTAACACTGTTTCTGAACGTTGTATTACTACCACGGTCTTGCGTACGAGCAGAACCTTTCCAAGTGGTCCATTATGCTTGCCTCTAGAACAGTCCCGAAAGGCGTGGTCGGCTTTGCCGTTCACAGTTCTGTGAAATTGAAATCGATTTCATCGATTTCAATTTCACGACTTTGCTCACCCTCATCATTCAGAGGGTGCTGCTTTTTCAGATAAAGAGGCTGCCTCCCGCAGTCCGTCCCCAATCTTTACTGAATCTACCACCGGCACCGTTCATTTTTCTCCCAACACCTATTTGGGAGGTTGCGTATACTGTCATTTTCTGTTGTTGTTGTCACAGTATCCGCCCTTCTCTTTTTCGATTTAAAATTAACTACCGATTTTTCATTTTCCTAGAGCATAGGAGTCGCCCTCTGTAGACCATCCAGCGGAGAGGAGATATTTGCGAATAATCCGTTCACCAAGTCTATTCAAGTACAAAATCCACATTTTCTCATAGAAATTCGGGTGATATAAATTCAGTATGGATAGATTTAAGATTATATTTGAGGTGAGTCATTTATCTTTCATGAGTTGTGATACTAAATTGTATAATAAGGCAGGTCAATATAGAGAGACTCTCAAGATTTTAGAACGAGATTCCGATGTGAGTTATGAATTATGGCCGCTCAGAACGTTATTAGTAGTTAATGATGCAGGCTCTTATGCACGGGGCTATTATTCACTGCCGCCAGTTTTTTGTTTTGCTACGTCAATTAGACTCCGCTAGAAGGGAAAAATGCCTGAATGAAGCGAGGAATGCCGGGTCGGACGCTCCGCTGTTCGACTTTCGGAGCTTGGATGATCCACAATATAGAACAAACGATCTATCTCGCGGGGCATCATTGCACCAAGATGCCGTTATCGCGGATAGCAATAGCTTCCAGATCGCCAACCCAGGAATACAGGAGCCGGAAGAGTTAGGTAAAAAATGTTCATGCTTATCGGTTGATCGTTTACTAACCGGTGGAATTGCACGGCCCAGGCGAGATAAGTATGGATATGACCTCAGGCTGTGACACAATCGATCCATGTTTATTGCAGCGAATGGGTGATTGGGATGACATGTTAGACGATGGCTGGCTGGCTAGCTATGACTCTAGCGGCCTCCCTCTTGATCCTTTAACCTCTGGCGCCGAGAACAATTTGGGTCTAACAGCTATCATGGATGATCCTGCAGCACCTCTGGAGAGCTTTATCGAGCAACTACCTGTCCCTGTCGACGTCGAAAATTTATTAGGAAAAGATCTGGGTCGGAACCAAGCGGATGACGGCAGTAACCAATTCATGGGTCTTCCTACTCCTCCATCTGACTCTCCTTCACCAGCTGCGCAATCTCAGGATGAAACCGGTCATCGTAGGAAGTCGAAGAAACAACGAGTCACAAAGTCTAGGTCAGCAAATAGCAAAAGGAGTTCTCCATCCCAGACATCACTCGCGTCGGACGATCAAGTATTGCAAGGATTGGCCCGTTCTCCATTAGCCACTGTCGAGCATGTCACGCGAAATCCTACTCCAGAAACCGATGATGACATACAAATGAATCTCCCTATTCCTAGTCATACTGTAAGTCGATCCCCTACGATGGAAATGGCACTTGCCGAGATATCTAGCGACAATTTGGAAACTGCACGACAAAGATGTGAACCTTTTTTACACGACAATCTGGTATATTTCTTGGAAGAAACCTGTCAAGGATTTTGGGACCGTCCCGCGGTTACACTTGACCTTTCACATGAGTCGATTAGAGGGGAGGCACATGCAAAAGTATTTCGATACGTTAACGATATCGAGAAACCAGACAATAAGAAATCTGTGAGAATCCGTTTTGGACAGGTGCTACTTTATCTCCTTTATATCAAAGAACTTCATGAAACCATCAAGAGAAGGGAGCTAGGGGTCGGAAAGGGTGGTAAGACCAAGACTGAAGCTATCGATAATATCATTCAAGGAATATATGCAGCAAGGTTGGCTAAGGATGAGACTGAAAAAAGCATACGAGACAGTTTTCATGTGCATAAACGTATTGGTGAGCGCTGGTGGTGGCTTACCTGCTTTACGGGGTTGGGCATTCTCTTAGGCTGTGGTAGCAAATTTGGGTCAATGGTGTTCGTGACTCCTTTGATCTACGCAATATTTTCCCTTTTTTATGTGGCTAATATTCGCTGAAGGAAGAACCATAATTTCCCCATTGACGCTATCGTGGTATGTCTTTTGCATTATCGGGCCGGCGACCTGGATCTTTGCCACCGATTTGACGACGCGGCCAAGAGTCTCTTAACTAGAGGGACCCTTCCTGCAGATTTTCATAGACAAGAGGTCCAATCTTGGATTGATCAGCCAACAGAGATAGCTGGGGCTACTGTGGATGTTTCTCACTGGAGCAAATTTGACCACGATCTAGCGGAAGAGAAGGCGCAAAACTTTCTCAACCAATTAAAAGAAGATTGCTGCAACCTACCAATGTGGTGTGTATGAACGACATTTAACGAAGATAAATGGAGGTAAACTGGTTCCAGTCTGTTGTACATCTTGTTTTGGGAGGCATTTTTTGTTTGTGAGTAGCTCTGTTGGACATGTATTCGATAGAATTGTGAGTGTCGACCAGAGAAGGGTGGTCGATTTAGGAAGTAAGTGGGTTTCTTATATTTTTAATAATCTAATTTTAGTTAAGCTGTTTCAACTAGGCTTCATAAAAGCTCGTTGCACGTTCCAACGAACTCAATATTGAGAATTTATCACGTGATGAAAGTCCCTTGCACATTACCTTCGTGGACATCATAACGGTATAAATAGCTGAAGCACTGCCATGTTCTTTTCATGGTTGGTACGGAGACGTGACCTTCTATTGTTCTCAACTTACATTATCGTCAAAACTCCTACCCAGGTCAATTATTAGAAGCCAGCAATAGGATGGCCACAGGACAAAATGCCGACCATGAGCTTACTGGAGGGTTAAAGAAATGGAACACGCCCCAGATACATTTCCGAGGAGAGCCCCTTGCTTATCTGATTGGCAGGAATGAATCGCCTTGGGACACTTTCAAAACAATATTCACCTGCGATCTTGCTGGTAGGGTTTCCATAGCTGCTTGCCGTACCCATCCATCACAATTAAGGGCTATACGGACTTTCAAGAAAGAAGAATCAAAAGAGATGCTGGAGAAGTTTAAACATATTCGACATGAAAATGTTCTTCTCGCCCGAGAATACTATGATCATGAGGATTCCGTCTATTTTGTGTTTGACGATCTTCCCCTCACCTTGAAACATGTGATAGGCTCTGATTATTATCCGTGTGATGCTGAAGTGTCATGCATTGTGTCACAGATAACACCGGGAGCGAGATAATCAATTTTATATACTAACAAGAAGAAGATTCTTAGTGGATTGTCCTTCCTACGGGCTTGTGGATATGACCATCCGTTTCTTACCTGCTCCTATATTCTGCTGGGAATGGACGGCACTATACAAATAGGTAAATTACCTGACCATTTTTTGGATAAATGGCTAACGAGTTGCGGTAGCGGGACTAGAGGGATGTGAGAACAGGAGCACTCTATCCCATTTTGGTTCTATCGAAGCAGTTGCATCTATAACCATCTTGCTTATGCAAAAGTATAAGAAGCCAGACGGTACAAAGGATATCGACAACCTTGATTGTTGGTCTATAGATTCCCAAGCCTTTCAGTTTCTACAGAGAACAGATACCGCTAGCTCCATTGATGAATTAAAGGAGGTATTTGGAATCTGTGTATCATCGACGTCTAATTAACCTTTCTAACTGTCTTATAGTATATTCTCGAGACCTTGACACCTCCAAAAGTGATTCTAGCTGGATTAGCTCGTTTTGTCCTGATATCTGCTCGTACTTCCTACTCTTATGAGGCTTAGCCGTGGACTATCGCTTGCGAAAGCCATTTTCAACTGTTACGTATGTTTACCAATAAACTCAAATCGAGCTGCATGCAGCCTGGTACAGTGGGAAATTGCTTGACTCAGATTGGCATTTATATCATGTGCGAAGACTTACCACGTGCTATTATATGTAATGAAAGTTCGTTGCACAATCCAATGAACGTCTACGTCACGTGACGATCCTTAACACGCACTATTACATAAAGTTTGTTGCACTTCCTATGAACTTAATTGCCTATGAGGAATGATGGTAGTCTGAGATGGCATACTCTTACTAGGGCGGTATATAAAGCGAGGATAATCCTCGCAGAAATCTTCCCCCCTACACTTATTACTTCATATATTCTCTCTCATTCGCTCATTGCACCCTCCAACATACTCTCGTTAAAATTGAGATGGATGTTCCAACCATATACGCTATAACCGCTGGTAGTTTTTTTACGCTCCTTATTACCATCAAAGTCTTGCCATATCTTATTCCCTGCACAATTACATTTGCGCAGCTTGTCTCTCGGCATTTTACGTATCGGTATCTCTTGAGCCGTCATCGAGTTTTGGGGTCTTGGACTCGATCTGGTGTTGCGGAAGGACTTCCACGAATATCAAAGGCAGGGTAGCCGATACTGGCAAGCAGCAGGAGTTTTAGGGCTCGGGGTTCTACTAGGCTCTGGGGACACGCTGGCCAAAGTGATGTAAGTCTTCGTGATACAATCCGCTGACCACGAAACTTACTGGAGTGCCCATTTCCGGCAAGAGCCACAAGACATATTCGAATATCGTTCTCAACTATATTCGGAACGCTCATCCAGGCGTAGTGAGGATTTACCAGGCCCTGAACGACTTGACAAAACAAATATTATGCGGAGGTCCTACCACAACGCAGCCTGCAGAGCTAGCACTTCAGGAAGCAATCCACCATGTGGCCGCTGGGACGCAAACTCCACCGCTACCGGAGAAGAATTGGCAGCTAGTAGATTCTGATACAGAATCCAGGAGTCTCGTCATGGAATTTTGCTAATTGGGTCATATTGTTAATTCTACAAAAGCTGCAGGCAGCTTGATGGCGGAATTGGGAGTCTGAGGCGTAAGTTTGTGGGTATCAGTTACATTGCTATTCTTCTCTTGTGTTTGTGGATAGATCGAACAGGTTTTAACGTTGTCTCCTTTATTTAATTGGATGCTTTCTTCTGGTGGGGCATCTTCGAGCATCTCCAAGGACATCCTTCCGAAAGCGGTTAGGAGGGTCTCCACCACCATTCCTAAAATGATGGGCAATGGGCAAGCCTTCTATATCGCCCTGTGATTAATTGGAAAGCTGTAGACTAGAAACAAATCATGGCACTTTTGAATTTAGGTTTAAAAGGCGCCGAGTCCCCCGTCCTCTGCCTTGGTCTCTCTCTCACTCGTACTCACCTTATACATTCATTGAAACACTCTAAAATGGATATATTAACGATCTACGCTATATCTGTAGGCAGCATCTTCGCACTTCTTTTCGTTCTCAGGATCAAATCATCCCTTAATCCTTGGACCGGTTTATATGCCAGTTTTATTTCCCGCCATTTTACCTATCCATACCTTCTCGGACGCCACCGGCTAGCCGGACCATGGACTCGGGCTGGAGCTTTTTTCCACCTTGTATACATCGCCTTGAATGCCTTCCTTACTTTCTTTCACACGACATCTGTCAGCGATGCTGGACATAGAGCTGGCGAACTTTCGATGATTAACATGATTTTCCTCATCTCTGCATTACATCTAAGTTATCTGTCTGACTTGCTAGGTATAACATTGCGAGTGGGCCGGCGAATCCACCGCGCTGCAGGCTGGGCCATGGCAGCTCTGCTGCTTTTCCATGTATCCGCAGCAATCGTGACCCGAAAATCGAGCTTTTCTTTACGACGGCCCAACGATATTTATACGGTCATTGTAGGTTTTGAGGCTGTATTGGTGGACTGCTGATGACTGTTATAGGGTGCCACCTGCTTCGCCGTTCTTATATTACTTTCCTGCGCATTCTTTCGTCATTTATCATACGGTATTTTCCTCTGCAGTCATCAGGCATTGGCAGGGGTTGGAGTATATGGGATCTGGCGACACCTCCCACCTGATGCTCGGTTTTCTTGGACATGCCTTTATACTGCCCTCGGAATCTTGGCAGTAACGTCAGTTTTGCAGTTCCTCACTGTTCTTCATCACAATGGATTGTTTGCTGGCCGAGGTGGCCCACGGCTTATCGCATCTTGTGAGACTAGCTCCGTGGGCAAGGTTCGCCTGGCTATTCCTCGGCCTCTTGAAGTATACGCCGGCCAATATATCAACCTGTGGATGCCGTCTCTCTCCTGGTGGTCGTGGATGCGAACCCATCCATTTGTTGTCATCTCCTATTCTCCGGAGAAACAGGGCTCTCTGGATATGTTATTAGAACCCCAGAATGCCGTCTGCGAAGATATTCTCCGCCGAGCACAGGCGAGAAAATTGGACACTGTCTCTTTACCCGCACTCTTCACTGGGCCGCATGGGGTTACAGAGCCAGTGGGTTGCTATGAGACGGTCCTTATCGTCGCTAGTGGATTTGGTATTACAGCGGTGATTCCGTACATGAAAAAAATCATACACGGATACAATACATCTACATCCCAGGCACGTCGGCTGCATCTTGTGTGGCAGGCAAAATCTCTTGGTAGGTGTACTGCAGCAATAGCATAGAATGATGCTGACTCTTTAGATATTGTGAGCGCTGGAGAATCTCTCCTGAATGATCTCTTACAAGATGACATTCTGGACGATGGCTATGTACGTTTGCCACCTGGAAGACATTTAAACATCTAACTCTAATGCATTTTTAGATCCTTTCCGTCTCGATTTATGTGACCCATGAGAAACTTCGTCAACATCAAACACCCTTCGGCGAGCATAAACGAGCCACTCTCTACGAGGGATGCCCGAGCTACCGCGATCTGATTGCTCAAGAGGCATCTGGCGAACAGATAGAGAGGCTCCCGAACATCGAGGACAAGCGTGGGAAGATGTTGGTGATGGGTAAGGAACTTTGCTGGTAGATGAACAGAGTACTGACCCAGAAACCCCTAGTCTCCACGTCGAATGCTTTGCGTGATCAGCTGCAACATATTGTCCGAGACTTTATATACCAGGACGTGACAATGACAACGCTTGACTTGCAATCAGAATAGGGAGAGGAGGGAGAGGAAGCTATGGGATCACTAGTTGAAGAGGAGAGGTGAATATCTGCCAGTTTTAAGCTCTTAGATAGATTTATGCCATCGAATTTACATTGTGTACCGCACTTCGAACGAAAATCCAAATGAACATTAGGGCATAATTGAGGTGGATGCTTTAACAAAACCAGGTACCTAAGGGCGAAGCAAGCATAAATATAATGGACATGTCCGAATCCCTCCCATACTTCAAGTGATCACAAAATGCACGACTACGGATATGAGTAATAAGTTGTTGTAGTAGCAATGGCCAATCGAGCCAAGCCCATTAATGTGCCTTTGGAATCACGGTGTTTGACAATGAGTGGTTTCTGCCACAGTAAGCATTTACCCGCAGGTATAAGATGAAAGAAAACCCACCTCCCTCAGGTGATCGATGGAGTCCGCGGAAGTCGTGGCGGCCAGGAATTCTACAGCATCCGACCCCAAAGGCCATCGTGTCAGGTCATTCACACCCGTGACGCTGTCATGGACAGGCCGCTTCTCCATCAGCTCCACGGTCATGGCTCTCAAAGCTTCCAAAGTCTGGACCTGGCTGTCATTGCGCCTGTGTATGGCCTCGAGGCATCCTTTGCTCTACCGTCAGATACATAGACAACAAGACGGGAATTCAGTACCTATTTTCACTGTGCCGTCAAGACCCATGAGTATATTGGAGCACTTGAGGGATCCGTGTTCAAAACCCTCTGTCATTAGGTATGATACACCATCGAGCACCTACAGACGGATCAGCTGCGCACCAGACAGACATCAGAAGAATTACTTGTTTGAGTATTGCAGCTAGTCGAGCTTCGTTCAAGAAGGCATCGCAAGCAACGACGTCCTCCAACGTGATGGGAAGATCTTCACACAAGGCGTAGACCGAACCCTCTGTATTGAAGCACTCCTCTGCAGACAGGATGTTCTCGTGCTGGAGCTGACTGAAAAAATGCAACATTTTGGTTCCTATATCCCCAGGATACTGCCTTAATGCCAAGGTCCCAGAAGGCTCTGAACGATGAAACACAATCGCCGCCTCTCCGGCAAGATCGCAGGTAAATTCCTTTTCGTACGTGTCCCACGGCGACCGGTCTCGGGCCTTGAGTGTAGGGTGTGGGCGATTCTGGGAACTGGCTCCATGCGTAAAATCAATCAGTCTCTGCAACCCGACTGGGGCTCTTTCCTCGTGTATAGGAGACAGCTTCCGCTTGCGCCCGTGGTCGACCGGACCGTTAGTATGAGGAACTGGTGGAATGGATTCGGAAGACGGGACTCGTAGGCTTTGTGACTTGATCACGGTCAATCGTTTTTTAGATTCGGTAGATTCGGCTTCGGCAGGCATGATGTAGGTAAATTAACGACACAAGGGCGGGCTTGGAGTAAACACCGAGTCTCCCAGTTGTGGGTTTCTCGGGCTACTTAAGTAGATTGACGATGGGAAATAGGCCATGCGTTCGAATATCATGGAAATGACCAGCTCCGCTTAGAATGAAGAGACCGTTTCAAATGTGTCCTAAATAGATCCGCCAGCATTTAAAAGGACTCGTAGCCCCCCTGCATGTGGATCTAGTTCTAGTGTACCACGCGCAAAAAACTCTACACCATGGAGTCCCAATTCACGAACGCAGAGCTTCAACTCGGCATAGAGCGAAGTCGTAAATACAAAGGAACCGCTAAAATCGACCTGGAAGACATTGCCTTCTATCCAGACATCTCACAGTCCCTTGAGCAGCACAATGTGGACCGACTCTGTACAATATTTCGAAACGAAGGATGCCGCCGACTGGAGGTTCAGAACCATGTGACTGCCGTAGTTTCCCAGCAACACCTCCATACTGCGCTACAAGCGGCCGGAAAGACCCCCGATGTATTACTGACTTTGGACCCAAATCTGTTTCCTCACCTTCGATTCCCCGCTCATCAGGTCCGTTGCCTACACGGTCGACATCGGATCCGAGCCGGCAAGGAAGTCCTCCCTATCAGCGATCGCTGGTGGACGGTGGACCTGTACCTGGAAGGTACCTGTAGTGGTCTCTTCCTTTTGCACACATGTCAATTGACATGAGATTGCACAGATATCAGCCAAGAATTACGCTCGGCTCTCATCGATGAGTACGCCAATGAAAAACAGCCAAGCGACGGAGAAATCTACCGCAAAATCCGTCAATATCAACGGGAACACAATGCTGCCTTTGAAAAACGATGGTGGGCACGCCTGAGCGAAGATAAGGCTCGACGTCTTCGACAGCTTTCTAACGATATTGACCTCCGCTCGGCATTTGATGGGTTGCTGCCCATCCCTGGGCTCTGGGGAGGAATGAGCTTGGGAAACCTCGGAAAGATGATGGCATTGAAGTGTGATGAGGTTGTCCCATCTGCCATGTTTTGCGGACGGGGCTAACGGTTGTAGGAAATCGTGCGTTATCTGAGCATCCACCTGAGAGGATTCTGGGTGTCTCTGGTCAGTTCCGACCCCGCCCATCCGGATATCGACGCGATGATGAAAGTCGACTCCCACAGTGTGGACAGGTTGGAGCTTCTGGCGCCGGGAGCATCTCTCACGGATGCCAGAACTGTCGAAGGTTGGTTGGCTAGTGGCGAGGTCTTTCGCGGATTCAGCCCTTTGGAGAGACGTCGGATGTGGGAATGGCTGCGAGACTATGATGGCATTATTCCCTCGCTGCGGTCCTTCTTTCAGGATCTTGAGTATCTCAAGTCTTGTGCTGATACGGTCAAACGTCTCGTGAAACCGACCAAAATGGCACCCACCCTCCGCAAGGCCATGGAACGTCATTGGGTTCCTAGTGAGGTCGAAGAGGGAATACCCATCCAGACGTCTGAATGTACTTTCGAGCAGCGTTCCGGCAGCCGTCTCATGCATCAGGCGCTGGCTTATCGGCAGGTCTGGCTATATGCGATGCGTCATTACCCGCAAATGCCGAGGGACCCGACCAAACCAGACCGAAAGGCGAAACCGAGAAATGGGAAAGTGGATGAAACGGCGATTTACGAGATGGCGAAACTCGCGCGACAGCTCGGCTTCCAATCGACCGCGATTGAGACTTTGATCGATCAGTCGCCCGATGTGCTGATTGCACGGCGCGTCCTGCTCGAGGCACGGCAGCCGGACCGCTATGAATACCATGCCGATGTTTTCCACACATTGGTTCGTCAGATTGTCGAATGCTTTTCAGTGGCCACCCCTCGCGAACATCTCTTCCCTTCCGATCCCCCGGGGAATTCTTCGGCCGATTTGCAGGCTCGTAGTGGACTTCCCACCATCGATGCGCAAAAAAGCGACAGTCGGTTTCTTTTCCTCCCTCATCTCCATGGAAGCCGCGTGGTCGCAGAGACGGTATCGACCTGGTATGTGAGGCGATGCGTATACTTGGCTTTTTTCGGACCGCTGTCGGACTCTTATACCGCTCTTTTCCCCGCGAGTTCCGTGCCTCATCCGCCCCACCATGCGGACGTTCCCATGTCGCCTCTATTTGTGCCTGATCCCGCAACATCGAGTCTCTCGGCTGAACCTCTCCAGCTGCCGCCGGCGAATGAGAACCGTGCCAATGCAGCTCAGCAGGAATCGATAGGTTCAACCGACCACATCCCGGTCGATGTGATGCCTGGAATCGAGACGGGGCCCGGAGAGCCAAGCGAAAGAGCATCGGTCGTGTGGGAAGCGAACCCGCCTCCGCAGGACATGGAAGAAGAAAACCTCCCTGTGATGGAGCCAGTCCCCCGAGAGGAAGACCAGGAGGATGGTTCAATTTCCGAGTCGGAATACTCTCCACGGCCGGAGGACCACGGGCCTGCGGATCGATCGTCCACAGCCACACAGATTCATCTCCTTCCCGAACTCATGGGACGGTTACGCGAGTCCACGAGTCCCGACGATGGTCATGTCGTGGAGGATGGTGAATTGTCGGCACGGGGTCATCGTGCCGCCGTAGAAAATATCAGCCCTCATGGCGATGATGGAGCAATCCCCGGGTCGGGGAACATCGGGGAGACCGAGGCGCTTCCTGCCGTCGAGGTGGATGCGCAGACGATATATACCGACGATCTGTTCGACGATGACGAGGACATGACTCCACCTCATTCGGACGCGCTGTCAGTCTACGACAACGCGAGGAAAACCAACTCCCTTCCTGCAGACGACCCCCCGGTCGTGGACGAACCGTCGAGCCAGGCTGGTCGGGTCATCACATTTCGGGAGTGGACCAGCTTGCGGTGGAGGGCGGTCGAGCAGGTGACGATCGACTCGAACAACCCCTTGCACGTCGAGCGCGTCGCGGGCCGACTGCAAAAATCGGTTCGATCGCAAAAATCGGAAGAGATGAGCCTGTACAGTCAGAAGATGCGGAAAATCATGGCTCCACAGTGTTTGTGGACGGCGATCAATGATCGGAGTTATTCGATCTTCTTGGTCCCTAACGGACATCCCATCACGCGGGCGATGGTGACCGCAGCGCTCGCGTTGCCTCGGGACCATTCCGAACCAGAGGGCGAGGAAGGTCCCTTCGGCCGCATCATACCGCTAGAGGCAGAGGAATCCGATCCGCCGCGACGTCGAAAGCTGCCGGCGCGACCGTAGGTCACAAGCACGCTTCCGAAGTCGTCTGGGGCTGGGCCTCAGTCAGGGTTAACCCGCGGGTTCGAGGCCCTGTGTAGGGCTGAACCTGACTGAGGGCTAGCCCGGCGGGGTTAGACCAGCCGTGGTTTTAAAACCACGGTGCTGCCCCCAGGCCAGGGTTAATCCCAGGGCGGAAGTGCACCCCAAGCGGGTAGAACCCTCCAGCAGGCCCGATCCGCCCAGTCTACACCAGGACCAGGCCTAGCCCCACCGGTTTCCTCCGTTGCCAGTTTGACCACCACAGATGTTCCAGAACGATTGGTTCATCCTCACAGGGGATCCAGGCCTCGGCGTAATTGAAGGGGTCTTGCAATAGTCTTGTACCGTAACAGTTTTGCATCAAATGTTATGGGGACGCATTGTGTCTGAGACGGAGTTCTGAGAGCATTGATTATTCGCTGCTTGAGATAAGGCTGGGCCTCCGTCAAAACATCAACCTGAAATCCAAGTGGGAGATTGTCTGGAGGTCAAAGCATATCATCTGATGATGGCAGTGTTAGATGACTCATTTCTGTGCGTCTTAAGTGCCTTGTATATAGCCACCTTTTTAAAGACCGAAAAAGATTATCATTGGCGAGGTTATGACCGAAGGCAACAAATTGTGGGGGGTGTGTCAGCTGAGCACTGGGCTGACGGGGCTATGTTTATCTGTAGAGCCAGAATAGCCGGAATACTTGCTTATTTACATGTTAATTTGCCGGCTATTGCGATAAATTGTGCATGCTTTTGTATTTTCGAAATAGAAGATATGGAACTTGATGTAGAGGCTCTTCCGTTGAGTACGACTAATATTCGTTCTCCTCCTACTGCGTACAGATCGCCCCTCAATCACGATGATGGGTTGAGATACCTGAGGACACCTACACCAGAGAGCGACGAACATTCAATTGAACGGCATGTTCATGGTTCACGAAATACTACTTCGAACGCGGTGCAAAGTGGAAACACCTTGAGGACCGATCCGACAGCGAATTTTTACGACAATCTTAGGAAAGTCGTAACGAATAGTGGTGCAGAGCATTGTATCTTCATATCTGGCTCTGGCGGAAGGTCATCCCGAATTGTCCCTGTCCCGGTGAAACATCGAAATAATGACGTTGCTACATGGAAACAAATACGAGAGCATTGGTACGAGAATACTGGTCTATGGAAAAGATATATCCCCTTCTATGGAGTCACCAAAGTCAGCGAAGCCAAAGTGAGTGTCCAATCAAATTTCCCCTTGAAAATTTGATTCTTACGTATAAATAGTTTCGATTTGAAGGGAACTACGCTCGTAAATACTTTGCCAACGTTCAAATACCGTGCGAACCTGAAATCGACAACATGTTCAAAAAGTTACAGCATGACAGAGAAAATAACAACTTGAGGGTTGACGCTCTTGAAGACTGGGAAAACATAGATATATGTATTCCCTGCGGAGTGAACCCTACTACTGGAAGCTATCAACATGAAAACAGCGATTGTCCAACGCACTGGCTGGATAATGCGGAGTGTCCTTTCCAAATGTCAGACAAACTGAACGATCGATATCAACGATTATGCTCCCTGTCTTTACTTACATCCTGTTTTCACAACCCGGATCTTGCAACCGGCCAGCAAACATTCAATGGGTTTGTAATGGAACATGATCTCATCTACTACTACAAGTAAGCCCTGGAGCCCCTAATACGTCTACCTGTCATTATACAAAGCTGAGTATCAGCAGAGCTATTAAGCCCAGCTCACAATACAAAGCCCGTATCGGAGGAACAGAGTTTGTTACCATACATCTTCAAGAAGGATTTTTGTTTTCTTTTGAACCATACCTACTACTTTCTATAATTGCGGCAATTATGGCCATATTTATATGGGGACTATTTACTATGGACTGGAAATCCACCTCTCAGATGGTGATTGCAGTAATCACCACCGTGATCTCAAACATGAGAGCAGGTCAACCGGGAAAAGGATAACTTGAGCTTTCTTTTTGGTTAATTATTTAAGCGACAGTATGGTGAAAAATTCTTTGACTCTACTCTTCTCTTGCTCTGATGAAAGTGGAGACTATATGATGTTACTATACGATTTACGAAGTTAACAAAGTTAGATTATGAATTTTCGATGAGAACCGAACATTTTAATAGTCCGAATGAACAGCGATCTATTCTTGACAGCCAATGCAGGCGCTCTCTATTTCATGATAAGTAGGATCCTTATGAGAAACATCACTGATTAAAGAAATTATGTGCTTCTGAAGTTTGTTACCACACTGATTGCGCAGAAATGGGAGAATGAAGAAAAACGATATCTAAGTAATAAAGGTCAAAAACTTCTAGGTGCATTAAAAAATGATAGATATGGATTGAGCACTACAAAATGAACCCATGCACTTTTGCAGAATGTGCTTTGAACGCCATCTTCCCATCCAGGACGATCTCCGAGCACATATGAGTATCCGGACATGGGATGACATCACTGGAGCTATAAGCCCCGAGATGGAATCGATCCACATATTTCTGGACCGTTATTTTCTTTTATAATGGCAGTCTTCTAAGGGAAGACCTTCTGCCAAACAGAAGAGACATTGAAATTTCTCGCACTGCAGTGGCTGATCAGGCTTGATCTCTGGCTCTGATTTGACGGAGGGAGTTGGGTCCTCCACGACCCTGATAGGGATGTTCTCTGGCGGGTGCTGTGTTCGAGGTCGTGGACGTCCTCTTCGTTTGCACGCGATCATGTCAACTGCGAACTGAACATGCAGGCTGAACCCGTGGTGGTCCGAGAACGTGGACGGCTCACGCATGGCAACTTCGGCGATCTGGCATCGTTCGACAAGTCGGATCTCAGCCATCTCAATGCGGAAAGGGTCGTCGTCATCCTCCGAGACCTCACCATTCAGCTGCCGTTGAATTGCGGACATCGGGGCAACAGCGTCATATTCCTGCTGGATCCGTTTCAGTAAGGCTTGCTCTTCCGCTCGGATGGCACTGTCGAGCTGTCGCCGAACCGCCTGGTAATCTCGATAGATTGGCTCTCCTTCCGCCATCTTAACGACGCCAAAGACCTTCTCGATTTCGATTCGAAGTTGATATACCTTCTTCCGACGGTGTAAATAGGTCACCCTGTGTAATGCTTCGGGATGATCAACGCGAAGATAAAATCGAACTACAGAAGGCCAAGATATCGAAGAAAGTTGACAAGTGGCGAGTGAAGTAGCCGAGGAATTTGACTATAGCAGTTTTAAATGATTGATATAGTAAAATTCAAGTACGAAGATGATGAACTTCATCTATATGTCGCTGCCAGTGCATCTGCTCAAGATGCTCCCAACCGTCGTTACAGGAGTTACACCGACGGTCATTTAAGTGGGCTGGCCGGAAATGACGGAGGAGGCTGCTTTTCTTGGTGTACTTTTTCAGGCATTGAAAACAAGTCCAAATCTCCTCTTCTTTCTGCTCATACTTAGGCTTTGTTCTTGATCCTTCCTCTTTATGGTATGATTCCTTGAACTCTTGTCCTATGACACCGGAATGGTTGTTACTCGTTCTATTGACATGATCAGTAGACCGCTTTGTTTTGGGCCGGCCGCGGAGAGGACCCCCTTCCTCATAGTCACAATAGCCTACTATCATATGAGAGGCCGTATTGCGTCGCTGCCATTCACCCTCTAAGGTCCACTCTACTGGAACAGAGAGCAAAGCTTTGGCGAGACAGGCCATTTCCGGAGGTACATCGTCAGCCTCCAATGGCGGATGAGGAATATCATCGTCCGGTAGGATGGCCCCAGAAAGTTGTCCATTGATTTCTATAATAGCATTTTTCCGGCTGAAACCTCGTCTCATATCGTTCTTTTGCTTATACCGGGCCCGTTGGCGAGCATTGGTGACCTCTCGTTGCGCCTCGCTCAATGCGGGAATCAGCTCCGGGTCCAAATCACGCTCATATGCCTCCTCTAATTCATCCCAATGGCGGATTGCATCTAGTAATTCTGGATCTTGATCAACTAAAGCCTTCGCATCATCATCCAGATAGCGTGGACGGCCCCAATCTTTCCATCGAGAAGCACTGGTCAAAGCTCGTTTCCATGTCTGGTCCGGGTTTAAACCCAATACAGCCTCTTGCATGTTCGCATGGCGTCGTGGGCGATAATACTCAAGGAATGTGGACGTGCTCGCATGGTTCATAATCAAATTCCGCTGAGAATCACTGACCCATCCTGATGACTTCAAGTCAGAACTAACAAGCCGAGGTTGACGTGCGTACAGAAGAGGAACTTGCCTGTGGAATCTAGAATTTCACCCGTTCCGTAGCGAAACTGGTGGTAGAAGATACAATTGAGAAATCCCATGATTTCTGAGATACCCTTGACTGCCGAATAGTAGCTACTGTCTGACATCGGCTGTTCTCGAAAGATGCGTGGCTTGCCGTTGACAGTGTCAACTTTGCAGAATATATAATAATCATCCATTTCACGTTTGATCGGTACCTCTAATTGTTGACGCCCACGCGAAATAAAGAGTCTTCGTAGTTCTTCCATTGACCTGATATTGGGTTCGAACGCGTTCGCGTGGAACAACAGGCCAAAAAGAAAAACATGCGGACTCAGAACCAATGAAACTCCAAAGATGATTTCTGGGAAACAGAATTCATTGCTACATAAATATCAGTGTAAGTAGTATCAGCAGATATTTCCTAGCATCACTTACAGATCTTTTGTCCCGAGCAACTGTTTCACATACTCCGGCTTGATATCAATAGAAGGTACAGGAGGCCCTCCATGAGGATTCCGTTGCATAGTTATCAAGATATGTTTATATTGCAATCTCATCATCGCTCGTTTCCGATTCGCGGTGAACAGGCCGAGCATGAGGAGCAGGCACAGCATAATGCGTTGAATACCGAGGTGAAATCGTTTTTGTCTTGTTGTGATGATCGTCTCATTGAAAGGAATCATGTCCTCGATGTACAGCGGAACGTTATCACGGGGTTGGGTCTTCATTTTCCTATCCCTAATGACTTTGCGTATGCCCTACCATCTATATGTTAACCGATAATTTCTTGCAGCGCAGTGAACACGATGCGTACGATTCGAATCCGCCGCGCTACCTCGGCATCAATTTTTTCACCTTTCAACTTCTGGTAGTAGATGCGGAAGTTCTTCCAGTCGGTTTTGAAGCTACCGGCGGTGCCAATGCCCTTCAACTTGCGATTTTTCCTCCCACGCGTGAGGCTCAAAGTCCACTTCAAGAATCGAAACATAATGCTTCGAGATGCGTTTCGTAGGGCATCCTCTGGATTATCCCATATTGAACCAGCAGGCTCCTCGGCAGCTTTTACCAGGCAGTAACTATGCAATGTAAGACAACCAACAAGCAGACAGAGGGAAGACTGAATAGTACAAACCGCTGCCAACGCTCAATGATGCGTGTACGTAATTTTTTAGTGCCGTCGGGTTGGTCATGATCTGATTCAATATCGGACAGATCCTCGTCGGTATCGTCGGGGGGTCTACAAAGCGCTGACAGCTGGCGGTGGCAGTGTTTTCAGTACCATGAACTGGTTTCAGAGGAAGGGTCCGGACATGATTTTGAACCTCTGGCTCGGTGAGATCTGTGTCGGATCCATCCGTATATGAGGAATTGAACGGAGAGTCCACATCACTCTCTGTGTCGACGAGGTCTGTAGTGCGGCACCGATGGCGATTACGGGCCATCTTGCTTTGCTTGATTGATGTGGATCAGACTATCGCTAGAGAAGTTAAAAAGGGAAGAGCATGAGAGACAGAGTGATGCCAGGTTTGAGTACGGCCGCGATGCTCGATCATGAACAAGCAGTGGAAAGCCGAAAAGACGAAGGAAAGAATTCTACGTGAGACATCCATGGCTGGAGAGGCTGTAGGGGTCTTTATGAAATGGTCCTATAACATAGATGTGCACTTGTAACTACAAACCAACTGAAATTACCTAGTCAGTTGGTAGTTAGCGAGATTAAAGGCTAGAATACAGAACAGGTTAGAGGAAATCCGCGGGAGGAGACAAGAGTGCGTGCTCATTACGGTCAGGGGTGTGCATAAAAGCAATGTTTTCGTGAAGGCATTTTCACCTACAGATGAAGGCAAGATCGCCGACCCGGGTACAATTAGAAATTCTTAAGTAGTAGTTACTATAATTACTTTAATCTTATAATATATGTAGTATTCTTTTTATACTTGATAGTATTCTTATTATTTATTTTTAGTTTATTATAATAGTCCTTGATATATTAAATATTTAATAACCTTATATTCTCTTTTCTTAAAATATTAATAAAATGGATATTATATTTCTTTATATAGATACTGATAATTTTTATCTTTGATTAAGTATTTGAATATTGGTTGATATAAGATGATTGATATTTTTAGAGATTATCTATAGATATTCTTATTCTTTTAATAATAAATATATATATTGTTAAAGTATAATATTTAGTATATTTTTAGATGATTAAATCTGTTTATTTTTGGATAGTAATAATATATATTTAAATTGTTCACTATATAATTATATTCTTCTACTATATAATAATCATTCTATTTCTTTTATAATTATAAGGTTTCTATAGCTATATACTAAATATATATAAAATATCCATTATTAATATTTTTTGTATTTATTAATATAATTTTATTATATTTAATTAATAACTTCTTAATATATTACTTATAAAGGTATATAACTATATAATTTATCTTTTTTTTATTTATCTTCTATAGACTCATCTTAGCTTTTTAAAATTTTATAATTGACTTTTGAAAACTCTAAAACTATTTTTAGAATCTTATTTTCTATTTCTAAAATTTCTTATATCATTCTTAGATATTATTCTTATTTTTTCTTTTTATAAATAATAGATTTCTATAAAAGCTATTCTTAAGATAACTAATTAATAGATTCTATTAATTTTAATTTCTAAAAAGTATTTAATTCTTAATCTAAATTTTTATAAATTGTTTTCTATTCATTATTTTAAAATATTAGATTATGTTGGATTTCACTTTTTAATAAAGAATTATTAGTATTCTATTTAATAATATATTAATCTATTAATAGTACTTTTTACTATTCTCTACTTTTCTAATGACTATACACTTTCTTTAATTTAATATCTTTTTTTTAAACTATATCTTTCTTTTATATTTTTTTAAAATATCTTTTAAGATTTTTAAAATTTATTTATTATATTATAATTTTCTTTAATCTATATTTAAATTCTTAATTTAATATTTTATTCTATATCTTCTTATATTCTTTTCTTTCTTTATTATTATTTATTTTAGTGATATCTTAATAGATAATAGAGAATTATAAATTAAAGGCCATTACTTTATAATAATTAATATTACTAGATTTTTGCTTTTATTAATAGTCTTTTATGAAGTGTTCTTTTCTTTTATATTAATAGTAGGTCTTTTTTTATATCTTTAGTCTCATTCTTCTTTACTAATAATAGTATTTATCTGCATCTTAATATTATTATCTTAGTTATATTATGATTGTTTTAATTGACGACTATATAATTATTTATAGGCTATTAGTCCTTTATATTGTTATTATTATTGGATTTCTTATTAATATTACTTAATATTATAGAGTTTGTTGTTAATCTTGATCATTATTTTAATATATTTGTCAATATTCAATGGTCAATCTAGTTTAATAAGTTCAGTTTATACTTTAATCTTTAATATATTTTTGAATATCACAATTTATATATTGTCATTATATCTTAAGGTTATAATAATTTGCTTGAATTGAGTGGCTAATTATTATATAGATCTGGTTTGTCTTATCTGTTACAACTATTATTCTGTGATTTATGCTTTATTATGATCTTTAAATACTAGACTGAATCATTTCTTAAAGCTAGTATAGCTTTAAAAAACTTCTTTTATAACTATATTCTAATCTAATTTTTATTCATTATAATAATTGTTAAAAATTAATTATATCTATTTTAATACTTTTTTATAAAGACAATTCAAGATATAGATGATTTTATTGATATTATTTCTAATTTTATTAATTTCTATCTATATATTTATATATATAAAGAAGTTCTTAATTTTTAAGTAATTTCTATCTTAAGTTATAGGTATTAGTATCTTTAATAATTTTAATTTAATATTTATAAGGAGTTAAGCTTTTAATTAATTAATATATTCTTATATTAATGCTATAATATCATAGACACTTATTACTGGTTTATTTACTGATAATTCAGCTATTATTAATATTAAATAATATTGCTTATCTAGTAATTTCTAAATCTTTATTATGAGGATATTTTATTGTTAAAATATATTATAATGATTTATTTAAGATCAAAGATAGTCACTTAAGATATTTTATTAATATAGTAAAGAAATTATAAATAATACTAAAAGAGCTATTTTATTATAAGATAAGAATAATAAATAAATTATTATAATATTAATAGTAGTATATTATTTAAGTATAAATATATAATAATAAATAAGTATCTATATATATTAAAAGATATTAAAATATCTATTTTAATATCTTAAATTGTTTATTTCTATATCTAGAGTTGTCTACTTCTATATTTAAAAATATCTACTTTGTTAGATTATATGGTTAGCATATACTAGAATAAAGTACTAATTTATAATGCTTATATTACTATATCAATAGTTATGGCTAGAGAAAAATATAGCCATTTTTAGCATTGTTTTCACAATACAAAATTATACTTAATAACAATTTCGTCCATTGTCATTCCTTAAACAGTCTCTATTTGGTGCCTATTTTCCATATATATTATCTATATATATAGTATCTATGTACTTCCTTATTGGCTGCTTATATAATAGCGTCTGCTATAACATTCATTGGTCGTGGTTTATCGATTCTTGTGACAGATAAGCGCCGATAATCGCAACATCGACACGGCGGCCTTCACCCAGTAGAGACTCATCAATCATTAGTTATAACATAAAGTTAGAATGATAATTAATGAGTAAGCCAAAGGAATAAAGGAAATATGCAATAATAATAGGTGTGTTAGGCATAAAGCCTGAGAAATGCATTTGATTTGAAGTTATTGATTGATTCTAAATATATTAAGGTGCCGGCAGCGTGCACGATAGCTAAATACCAATAGGCGGTGTAAATGCGGGAAGCCTAACCCGATGTGGGTTAATCCGGCAGAATAGCAATGGCGTAACAAGGTGGCAGATGATCCACTTATGTCCTAAAAACCCTTGCACTAAATGCCGTTGATCCGTAGCTCAGCGGCATAACTTTTGCGGTGGCACATATGCTGACTAACACTTTAATTATTGATAACAACACAAAATCTAGTTTCCAGCTGGTAGAACGGAGCGGGCGCTGAGATGATCAGCAAGGGGATTAACGGAGATATGCCAAAATTGCCAACCCCGAGGCTATGAATAAGCGACTAACTACAACCCTGTCACACTCGCATGTGGGGATTGGTAAAAGTGAGCTTCATGTTCAGAGTGCCATCGATATAGCCCTGAAGCTGCCTCTCACGAGGTGCTTGAATGGTTGGAAATCGTCTGAACCGATCAGAATCACCTCAAGCTAAAACAATTCCTCTGTCAAAGTCTCCCACAGATCCGGCAATGATGGGCAAAACTTTCGAAGGAAAAATAAGACTGGTAGTTCTCCAAACACTACCGGTTTTATCTTCTTGTATGGATGCTGTGCCAGGGGCAGAAACAGTGTTTTGTTACGGCTAATCAATTAACAGAATTCAGTAGTCTTATATTGTCTCAATATTATATGTCACAGACTACAATATATATATCTTAGGCTACCATAAATAAAACAGACAATTTTTTCCATGTGTCATCTAATCACAAACCAACTAAAGTATAGCAATTATTCCCCATTCTCAAGTAGAAGCTAACTATCCCAATTTCTTCAGTATCTCCACTGTCTCCCCGTACGCCTCATCTCTCATCTTCTCATAGGTTGATCCCTTAGTTACTCCTTTATCCCAATTGTGGCCAATAGCTTTCAATCTTCTAAGCACTACCGTCCTCGATCCATCGTCTATTTCGCGCGCCAATTTTTCAGCTTCTAGATCTATATTGTCTCCTTCACACGTGAAGATGACTACTGTCTCAGGAAAAAAACTTGGATCGTCCAAGATTGGCGAAGCACGGACATCCTTGCGCATAGACATCTCCGGGACGTAGCAAGAATAAATCAATCTCACTAATGAGATAGCAAGCCTGTTGTTTATGTCTTGCCTAACTCTTGATGCTGGGTCAAGGGTGAAATTTGTAATTGGATAGTACAAGATGACCGCGTTAATTCTTACGTCTTTCAGCTCTGGTGCGTCTTTATGCGGTTGCTGGTGCTCTCCTTGATTTAGAGGGTGCTTTACTGACGAAGCAGACATAGCTGAAGTAACCAGCGCAAGATTTCCGCCAGAACTAAAACCCGATAAGGCGATGCTGTTAATATCGAATCGATCCGGGTGAGAATATACCCATCGCACTGTATCGACAGCGTCATGTACTGCCGCTGGAAATATGTTTTCTGGACCCTTGCGGTAATCAGAGTCTACAACGATGATACCAGCATCCCTCGCCATACGCATACAGTATGCTCGATCGGTCCCAAGTTGTGGCAAGATGAATCCACTTGCATGCCAGTTGATTAAGACAGGCAGTGGAGGCGGGGAAGATGATGGATCGTATCCAGGTGGATAGTAGATATGCGCTTCAATCGTGCGGTGAGAATCTCGCGACGGAATTTGAATTTTTTCTAATACCATGTTGGGAGGGAGGTACGAGTCACGTCGAATGTTACGAATCATCTTCATATAAGCGAGAAAACGGAGGATAGTTATGATAATCTTCGCGCGGAGATATCTGGAAGAGTCGTGCTTGTAAAGAGAACTTGAGGCGGCCATCATGGACGGATGTGCGCTGACTGCAGCGGGTAACCTTCCTCTCCGTAACTTGGTGTTGAAGATAGTGTCTCTGTCTATTCCACACCCGCATGCACTTGGTGTAAGGTTGGAGTTGGAGGTGTTTGCTCTCTCAGACTGAAAATATAGAATATCAGCATATTTAACGACTTCACTCTTATGATTCTACTACTAACGTCTCTGATAGAAACGGACCCCACTCTCGGAATTATACTGTTTATAGATTATAGAAGTTGCTCAGTGACGTATCTGCTGTTGCATCGGGCGTGCCGAGGTTTAACCCGGGCCGTCAGCTAAGTTCCGCTGGATAAGGAGCATCTAATCCAATTTTTGCGCAATTATAGACGCCGCACGCATCCATAACACAACAAGGCATCAGCCAAAGGACATAGATCCAGTACAATCAGGCCATTCAAAATATCCATTGCAGATGAATAATTGACAGCTCCTTCGTCCGAAGCTTGTGCTAGCTTCATTCCCTAAGGAGCGAAGTATCTAATGCTATATAATGAAGCTTTTATGGCCAAGCCAGGAGCACGGTTACTGATTTTTTTTCAGTCTTCTGTCTGTATCATCTGTCGATTTGCAGATCTGGAAACCTCTGGTTCCTGGTGGCTGTCAATAGTGTAGAGGAATGCACCCTCAACCGTGAAGCCGGCCATTTAATCCTCTAAGTCCAAAGATGAAAGAAACAAGTACATCATCAACAGCCCAATCTGATCTTGCCGTTCTTTCGGTCATAGTAGCGTATTATCGCCAGTATACTGTTCGTCACTGGTGTTTGATGTGTATTTCCTCGTATTTGACGCGGTAGATAACCGGTCCAGGGGTGTCTGGAATGCCTGTATTATGGCATACTAAATGAACTTCCAATCCAAAGCCGGATATTAATTGCAATAGTAACATCAAATGCCATTACAAAAGACATTGCTTGACCCTCCCCGGAGTTCTCTGATCAAGTTTATAACCACCAGCTGGATAAGGTCATAGGGACTAAATCTAACTATACTTGGTCTCATAACGCGAGTAAAGAGGAGAACGCATCAAACACAGTCATATCAAGTTCACAATGAACCAGTTATCGCAAATGTTGCACACGTTGGCAGCTTCTTGTGCTCCTCGTCATACTACCTTTAGACAGACATATTGTAACACGGCCTGGCAGGGCCGTGTCCGGGGGTGTCTGGATAGACTAGACGTGGGTGAGTTGAAGCTTCACCGATTGATATTGATGCTATAGAGCAAGGCTACTAGGGAGGAAGCTATCGGTTTAGATTATATAGTTAGGGAAGGCTTCGAGCCGAAGGCTATTCGAAGCCGAGTAGGCTTATATTGAAAGTTATGTCAAAGATTATACAAAAGATATTGCTTGGTTTCCTCCCTCCGGGTGGGAAACCAAGCCTATATGTCTGAGTCCCTATCTCAGGTCATTGATACCTAATCTAACTAGATAAAGGCATATATTGCGAGGTGAGGGGTACTTGCATCATGCCCGGGGCCTCATGGTATCAATTATGATAAGTCATAATTGACCCCCGGGATGATCCTGAGTCCCCCGGTCCTGCCGGATCAGGCCTAAACATGCTTCCTGGGCCTATCCCTGTTACACATATTGAAAACAAGGATAGTTTCCTTTAAAGAAAATGTCCGTTAAGCCTTGGAGAAATACAGCTGAACTTTACCGTATCCATTTCGTACGAGGAGAACTCGTTGTACAGTTAAAACAGCATATTGGCTGGTTCTTCCAAGTATCTTATCGATCACCTAGAACGATGAATTATTTTCATCACAACTTGAAAAGAACATTTCCTTCTTTTTAACTTATGAGATAAATCATCTGAGGGCATGAAATTTTCATTTCATTTCACTTTCTGTTTGAGAAGTGCTGGAAGTCTATCTTCCCGCAGTCTGTCTTCCTATAGCCCTCGCACGTCTAATTGCTGCTATAATCATCATTCATAACTCTGAATATCAGCCGTGACTCCGAGAATGCGACCCGGGTATATGTCTAGAATTAAGGTCCATAGCGCTTACAATTTGATGCAACTATGTGAACTCAAGCTATTTAACTTTCTCCGGGAGTATTATTCTTAACAATCAATACCTTAGATATAATTCATTATAAATTATTCTTAAATTAGTCAATTGCTTATATAATTCTTTGCCCCTCTATGGTTCTTTAGATTTATTTTTAATCTAAATTCATTAACCTGTGATGGAAGCCCCTTCAAATATCATTATTAAGAATCTAAATAGCAAATGCATTTTGGTAGTAAATCGCTCTCCGCCGAACCTCAAAGTGCAGGTAGGAAGCGGTTGACTTACAGACCCCACTATCTCCAACTGACAATGTGAAATCTAACATTTTGTACAAGAACGGCTTCTTACGGGACCTTTGGCCTAAGGCGAGATATGATGAATGTGGCAAGATCGTAAATTTCACCGCTTGCCAAGCGGATTATATTTGTTGGTTTAACACAGAATTATCGGGCGGAGTTGTTGCTGTAACTAGACTGGGGAATGCCTCGAAATGATACTGTTTCACAATAAATTCAGATATATCCTCAACAAACTGCCTTTCGATTGATCTTTCCTCAAAAACCTGGTATGCGATCCGCAGAGGATAAAGAATCTGCATGGTCACATTTCCATGATTTGCCTGTAGATAGAATTGAATACTCCGACATATGTCGCATGCATAGGAATATTTCTTGGTTTGAGTAATAAAATCAGCGGAGACGACCTCGTTACTGAGACTAAGGAGGATGGCCTTATAAATGCATAGGCTTGTCGCAAGGACTAGGTCAGGATACATAAATGCCGTCGGAGTAATAACGATGTCTCTTTCCCTGTTCCAACATTGAAAGATAGGCAGTGTGTCATTTTGGTTGCACTCGTATGGCTGACCAGCTGGGTAATCATCAGCATAATCTCCCTTCCACTGCTGGAGCCGATTTCTGAGAATAAAAGCCCAGGATTGCATACTCCGCATCATTAGTGTGCTCTCCTGGGCGGGTATAGAGGGGTCATTTGACATCTCGGTATACCTATCACATTGCCTGAGGAAGGCTGGAATCTCTAACACAGTATCTAAGAGATGTTGTAGGGCATCCTTTTGCACGTCCGTTTGTGTCCAGGGAATGGTCCTCCATTCTTCCAGTGAAAGAAATGTTGGTCTGCGAAATTCTACTGACCATAGAACCTAGGTGTGCTGATTAATTTTATGTAATCTTGCAACACTATACCAAACATACCCAAAGTAATCTTAATTCAATAAAAAAGCATCGTTCAATGCCATGGACGTGTCGCAATGGACCCCTCTTTTCAATAAGCGTGAGAAGAGCGCCCCAGTGACAAACAATAGGATTCTCACTTCGCTGTTGAAGCATCTAGTAGAGCTGAGTATTATTCCCATTATGAGTGGGATACATACCTCAAAAATAGTAACCACAGCAATGGACAATAATAGCCAAGTAGATGATGATTCATCCGGCTGTCTCAAGGAAGACTGTACCCGACTAAGAACGGAACCATATCTCTGCTGCGCATCCAGTTCTATTTCCGTGTCCTTGATAGTCTTCGCCAAAAATAATCTTGACGTTGCCTCGAGGACGTCGCGTAACAGTGGGCAAGTTTCTGCTATTAACCCGGCTGCTTGCAACCAGCGTGGAGACCCAGTAGTGGTGCCGGGAGTCTGAATATTGATGAATCGGCTAACAAGCTTATAGGCCTCATCATCAGCAGACGGCTGTGGGTTGTCAGTCGTGGACATATGACGTCCTACACTCTGGGCTTGTCGTACATCTGCACTTTGCTCGGGAGATTTGTGGATGAGCAAAAGATCCAGGGGACTTGCAATAGTTGCTGCAGTGCCTTGCGGGTCATCGTGTGAAGTGTCATCTATCATTGCGTGGCCCTGAATCACTTCATTAAAGGTGCTTTCTTGAGACCCAACGTCACTATGAGCCGCACATCCACTGTAGAAATGAGCTAATTTCACTCGTACGTTCGTGAGAGGCTTTTGGAGGCCTGGGTTAGGTCCATTCTTCATTTCTAGCATCATGAACCATAGAGAACTAATGGGAAGTGTTGAGCCTGTCTGAACTGCCGCAGAATTATCGAGCATCGTCATAATTGCAACGTACCCTGAAAAGGATAGCAATATTGAGGAACGTCGGAGGGTGAATCTTTCTCTGTATCTGCTGAGAAGCCGCCATATAGCTACTGCCTCCTCTACACAAGCATTTTCGGCAGTCGTTCGGTCGACGCTGTCTAAACAACACCGCAGACCAGGCCGTTCTAAGAGCGGTCGCAACGTCAGTAATTTTACAGCATGGAAAACCAATCTACACTTTTGTCAGCCTTCGATCGAGACTGGGTATAAATATACACACAATAATGTCGTCTGATGCGGTAGAGGCAGTGGGTCTATATCTAGGTCAAAGTGGAGATGGTTAGGAAGCGACTGTAACCAATGAGTGAGTCGCTGCTCTATTGCGGATTGTTTCTGCAAATAGAAAATGAGGCCCACTGGCTCCGAATCCTCGTGATATAATGATTGAAGGGCGTCTGAAGCTATCTGCATCAATTGAACGTGGGCAACAAATGTCGAAATAGTATGAGTCGGGGTTTGTTGAAAGTCTTGAGAAGATGAGTTACCAGAAGGATCAATCCATGGCGATTGGGATGGCCACATTTCCAGTTCCTCGTAGGTGTCCAAAACGTTGGCCTGCTCTTGGAGGTCACGAAGTTCAGTAAAAGGCGTACACCCAACATAGAGAGCCAATGCCATGTTGATAGAAAATGCCCCCATGCGTAATCGATTTCGCATTTCAACTTCGACGTGGGTGAGAAACTGCTCAGAATGACGGTCCGAGTCTGCCAACATTCGATGTGCTAAGTCACATGATGCCCAACCTTCGCCAGTCATACCTAGAGATACTAGAGAAACCCCACAGAGGAGTAAAGCCACGGTAGTGGGAATACTCGATTTTCCGATTTCGTTAACAAGTAGTTGGCGAATCCTCGCATAGAAGGACATTCCAAATGTGCCGTAATCTCCCTCTACAAACCGAACCCCAGGCCGATCGCTAAGGAGGGATCCACAGAGGTAAAAAGCATTCAGCAACAGCTTGTTCATGTATTGGCCTCCTTGAAGAAGGCTCTCCATTATCGCAGGTCGATATGCGATAAGCCATATCATGTGTTGATTGTTCCAATAAAGATCGATTAAATGAGTTGCCATTTCCGGGCTTAATCCGTCAAAATCAACTTTATCAACCGTATTTGGTTGTAATATAAGGGTCTCTTGTTGTCGCCACATAGCGCTGTAAGACATGAGTTTCTCCTTGGTAGTCTCGTCGTCTGCATCGTGTGAAGCATTCTTAGGGCCTTCTGCGTAATTGAATGCCCTGTGAAGAGATGAAAGAATACCAACACCAGAGCTGCTTGCATCTCCCTCAATGTCATCACTTTCAGGCATGTGAGATTCGAGAGAAATCGTCGTTGCGCTGGACGGAATGAAATCAGCAGACCTCGATGATGGTCCGGTATCCGGATTCGAATTTACATGCCTCTCTGCCTGGTTGATGCCATGTTTTCCAACCCCTAGCGAAACCTCGACTGGAGAAGGTATATGGGAATCGGGGGTAGCTTCGGTCGGATTGTGGTTGGAGATAATGTTTGACCTCTGAGATAGTGCAAACAGTCCGAGTCCTGGCGGTCGCTCTGCTGCACTCTGCCGGTATCGCGCATCTGGCGGATAAACACACTGTTGTTGTTGGAGAGTGCAATAACCGCAATGAGGTTTGCCGCCATCGCATCGCACCTGGGATGAGATTTACTTCCAAGTTCAAAGCTCATCAAGCGGAGGGGTTGTTACCTTCTTCAGGCGACAACGCCGGCATGACCTGCAGTCAGTTATATCTTCTTTGTGGCTTGCTGATTCCGCCATGCAAGGGGTATCCTGGGCTTCCTTTAGTTGGGTGTTATCTCATTCTTAGACGGTTGGCCGCTAGCAGGGGCCCCGATTCTGCCACCTACCAAGCTAAGCAGAGTAAGTCAGGTGACGCTCCTGACACGGAACTGTCTGAGAATAACCTGACTATTTTCAGCTTGAATATTTAAACCTTGCGATGGCAAATTTATTGTTCGAAGATTGAAGTATTTAATCCAGAGCATATTTGAAGCAAAGATACAGTACAGTAATGAGCCTAGCTCTCTAAGACACGTACTGCATTTACTGTAAGTGATCAGCCATTAAGATCAGCTTTCTGTAGAGGCTCGAAGGACAGGCGAAAAGTGGGGGATCGCGTAGGCCCTTTGTTTACGTAAGCGATTACTCACATCTTGGCAACCACGTAACTTAACCTTCAATAATAAGCCTCTGCTCAAAAAATAATGCACAACCTCTGTGCAAGATGAAATCATCTGCGGGTTCAATAGGCAGTTGATAGCCCAACAAAACACCACCCCATCGATTTCAGGGGTACTGTACCAGCAGGATTAAGCATGAAGGTCAATCAAGGAATTTGTTGCAAGGCCGTTCGAACCGAAGCGTCTTAGCTGCCGATCATAACAGGACTAGCTGAAAATGGTATATTGCCGAAACCGGTCATTAGCTTTTTAACTTCTCGTGGAAAGACCCATCTTTTAGTTGGATATGACACATGATTGCATATCTAAATAGAGGGCGTGGACGTCGCCCAAATTCTGTTTACCTCGACACTCCAACACATAATTCAACAGATAACACTGTCGGATCGTTACTGGAATGATCAGTTGTAACTTTACGAAATCGAGGCCTAGAGATACAGTACAGTGAAATCGAAACCAGTTAAATTAAGGGTTGGCCTAGTGTTTCGTTAAGATTTCATTTGGACAATCTCCGGTCCACTTCCAGTATTGACCCTTGAGCTGCAATGGCTCATATCCAAAAGGTAATACAACTTCTTTTCCCCGCTTCTAGCTCCTGTCACAGTTCATTCTGTTAAAAATCGTTGGTATCATCTGACAGGGTCAATCTTAGGTTATTATAATTGGAGCCGGACCAGCGGGTTTATTGGCGGCTCTTCGTCTTCATAAACATAACGACATCGTCCCTGTGGTATATGAAATTCGCCCAGAGCCATCTACTCTGGGGGGAGCTATTGGAATTCCATCGAATGGCTCCAGACTACTACATCGATTGGGCCTCTATGAGGCCTGTTGTTCCCGAGGCGCCGAGACATCAAACTTAGTGGTTCATTCCCTCGATGGTTCGGTAATGGGTCAGATGGATATGACTTCTCGGAGTAGGCAGGTTACAGGATTTGGGTATTTGAGAATACGGAGAACGGATCTGATGGATGTGCTATACGATGCAATTGCTCAAGAAGGGATTCGAATTCATTTTGGGAAGCATTTGGTCAAGATTGAGGAAAACGAGCAAGGAGTTACCACAATTTTCTCGGATGATACGGTTGACACGGCAGACCTCCTCCTCGGTTGCGACGGTATCCATTCTTCTGTCCGGCGAATGTATGTAGATCCAGACAAGTTACCAGAGTATTCCGGAATTTCGAGTATGTTTTCGCTTCTTCCCACAGCAAACTTGCCTACAATAGCCTCATCGATGGATGCTCTCAATGTCACTCTTACAGCCGATGGCATGGTTGCATTATCACCCTGCACCTCATCCGGAAATATGATCTATTGGTTCTTCTCTCGTGAGATTGTTTTGCCCCCTGGCGAAGATACACGTGACGGCTGGGAAGAGCAGGGTAAAAAGGAGGTTTCTAATTTCAAATCGAACTTGTTTGATTTGATTCATGGTGGTAAAGGCGAATGGGGAGAGCTTATGATAAAGGTTGTCTCTCAAACAGAAGTACTGAAATTCTACCCCGTGTTTCGACTGGGCCTAGGTGGAAAGTGGTATAAAGGCCGGTGTCTAATCATAGGCGACGCGGCTCATGCCATGCAACCGCATGCCAGTCAAGGAGTGTCGATGGCATTGGAAGATGTCTTTTTACTTTCTAACTCCTTGAAGAGCCATCGTTCGTTATCAGATGTCTTCAACGTCTACGAGGAAAAGAGGAGGCCACGAGTAGATATGTTTTACAAGACTGCTGAACGGAATGGTGACATGCGGAAGAAGATGAGTCCTTTTCGTTTCTGGATCCAAGAGCAAGTTATGTCCACAGCGTTGTCCTTGTACGGGGTTTTCAATCTCGACAAGCTAGGCTTGGGTCAAAAACCACTTGCTTATGACGTTGAGGCCGAGGATGTTTGAATAATCCAAACATCTAAAGGAGATGCAAGAAGGTTAGGCACCGTTTACATTAAACAGACCTTTTTGTCAAGCATAAGCTAATTATTTGCGGATATAGACTAGAAGTTAAGGCCTGTTCCTGGGTCAGCTTTAACTATCTGTTGTACATGCTATATTTCAATATCCGATTAGTTCCTAATTTTTGTTTCAGTCTATGACATTTATAGATGCGGTAAAATTCTAATTATTAGCAATCAATCCTGGGCGACATCGTTAATTGTTACCCTATATACGTACACTTTTTCTCGGAGTTAATTCCCATTGTACCTCCCAGGCCTAAACATGTGGAGTTCAGAGCTGTCGAAGCTCAGTTATAAAAGTTTGATTCATCCAATGGGACTCGGAAATCCATAACACAAAACTGCTAGGGATGACAGTGCTATTGATCGTTCGAGGACACTGATGACAGCGTGATTGTCGCTTGTTGCATCGCATACCCAGGTTTAATTATTATGATCTCATAAAACTAATTCTTAACCAAGACTTAACAAGCCACTTATCCACTATGTAGATTGAGGTGTCATCTGGGCATGTGTGCGAACAGGTTGCCAATAAGGTGACCAATGCCTGAAATGGGATGACAACGTCGAACCCGAAAAATGTAATACAGCAGCATGGAGCCCAAAATGTTAAAAACAACATACGCCCATCCAATCCCCCAATTTCGCCACCGGTCATTGTAGTCTGTGATTTCGTTCAGGCCATGTTAGTCAAACGTAAATCTGATTATGACCAATATGATACGTTAGAAATTTCAATACATACAGTATCCACTAATCCCAAGGAGCTGGTCTGCGTAGCTGAAGGGGCAATATTCGCAGTTTCGAATTGCGGACGGATTATATAGTTTTCCCGCTGCAGTTTCCAAGTACGATGCAAGATATTCATCACACGTCATCCCACTTGGAGGGTCAAAGATATTCGTCTCAGCGGATGAGCAATGAACTGGACGACTATGGAGCCCCGTTGCCGTAATCCCAGATATTAAATATGTCAACGGCGAGAGTCGGTACATGAAGATCCAAAAGCCAGGTAGAGCGCCAGGTGGCTGAAGCACTCCATTGAACGCTACCATGAAGATGAACGCAAATGTAGCACCCACAGTATCCGCATCAGGAAGGGCAGATATGATCAAGGTGGCCAACGTCATGGCAAAGATACAAAGTTGTATCAAAAATAGGAGCATTAGGCCCTGCTGTTGAGATGTTTGCTGCACCCCAAAAATTGGAAAGTAAAAGCTTACCCAGACGAGGAAGGCAAAGAATATCTGATATGGAATTTCAACAATGATGTTGGCGAGAATGAAGATAGGCCATGCATAAAGTCTACACGGTTGCTCACGGACTTCATATAGGGACCGTTGGAGGATAAAGTTAGGCATTGTCCTAGAAATGGAGTTCGTGATTAGAGTGGTCTAAGCATCAAATATAAGAGTAGAACTTACTGCTGGATTAAATTCACTAATACTCCCATTAAATTCAGAATACCATATAATACTGATTGGTATCCTGATAAAGTCATCGTTGGTTTAAAAGAGGAAAACCCAATGAGAAGTGCCGTTGCTATTGCCATGAGAAGCTTCCCGTAGATATATGCTGGATCACGCCAATACTGCTGAAAAACACGATGCGTAACAATAAATAATTGCCGATAAAATGGCAAGGCGAAACCACGGTGTTTTATATCTGCTAGGTGTTGCTCGCACTGAGCAACCTCACGAGTCTGCTTGACATGGTCGATTTTGTCCTGGATATGCCGAGCCTCTGGACTCTTCTGCCATGTGGAAGACCGTTCCCCTTCCACAGTAGGCATGTTAGACATTCGCAAAAGGTACTCCGCCGGCTAACAGCGTCAAGTAAAGTTAGTTTAAGTTATCTCTGTAAAAGAGGTATACATCTGTATAAGACTTACACTTTCGGTCTCTTCGCACTCTTGAGAAGTATGTAGCGCAAAATAGTTAAGCACAATAGAAGAACCATGACCGGTCTCGCCAAAGTACACAGTCCTACCGCCATTCTCTAGGAGTAGGAGATGGTCAAAGAGGTGAAACACAGAAGCTGTTGGCTGATGGACTGTGGAGATCACAGCTAATCCCGCATCCGAGAGCCGTCGGAGAAGTCGATAGATTAATAATGAGGACTGCGTATCAAGTGAACGGGTAGGGTCATCTAGAAAAAGGAATGCAGGTTTAGTTGCCAGTTCTAATCCTAAACCGAGTAATATCCTCTGCAAATCATCCAGCCCAGTCCCAGGCAGACCAATAACCGCATCAGCATACTCCTCCATATGGAGCATGCTGATCACCTCTTCAACATATGCATACTTTTCGTCCTCAGACACAGTATCAGGTCGCCGGAGACGAGTCGTAAAGCGGAGAGCTTCTCGCACCGTGGCTGTAGGCAAATGGATATCCTCCTGCTGGACGAATCCTATGAATGGCCGAAAGCCCATAGCGGTCACTGTCCTACCATTCAATTGGATTGTTCCGCTGACAGTCCCATCGGATGGGTATTGTGCCAAAACCTTCAACAGTGTTGTTTTCCCGGAACCTGAGACACCCATGATTGCTGTCAAGGTCCCGGGTTTTGCCCATCCTGAACAGTTGTCCAGAAGACGCCGACTAGTTCCTCTTCTGGTGATGTCATAACATATATTCTTCCACGTGAAAACATTAGACTGCTTTTTCAACATATAATGTTCATGCTCATTGCTGAGAGGAATCTGAGAACCAGTATCTCTCGGGGATGAGTCTTTCCAGTCATCCATCTGATTTTCAACGCATTGACGGCGTGCTGGAGGAGAAAAACGTCGGAAAATCGTAACTCTAGCCGCAGAAAGTGGTTCAAATTGGAATTCACTAGCGAACAAGGATACTCCAAGGAAAAACACCCAAAAGCTGATTATAATACCGAAGTTGCGCCATAGACTTTTGAAAGCAGCACCGTACTGCACAAAGATATAATTGTCACCAAGAACGGTTTTTTCCCCAGTTAAGGCCCCGCTCATGGAACAAACGAATGTGTTCCCTATGAGATTCTCATAGTCTGGGATAAATTGAGAACATACAAACTCCCGTCCATGGAACTCATTGATAATCAGAGCCTCGTACACATAGAAGACGGGGTTAAGCCAGCGAATCCAGGAGAACCAAGGTTTCATTATCGGAAGAGGTATGACAAAACCCATGTAGAGAATATAAATAGTGATCAGCGCCCCTACCAGTGTCATGGCTTGATTTGTACTTCTTGTTGCCACCGCAATAGCCCGGAATATTGAAGACATTGTCAACGTCCCGACGAAGACGAAGAGAAGAAAGATAAAGAATTGACTGGGTTCTCGACGCTTCATAAAGACTTTTAGCACGTTGATTACAACATCATTTATTGCAGCCGCTGTGAAGAGGGAGGTGGATGACGGGACAGGAATAGAGATTCGAGGAACATAAGGGAGTCCGTACCAGCCCAGCAAGGAAATATAAAACGACATTGAAGCTTATTCCAGTGATAAGTTTGATTGGTATATCCGTAAAAAGTCTCCCAACAGCCTCTGCAAATGGGTGAACAAACGCATACGCGGCTTGCTTTTGGACGATGGCACGTATATTGTGGTAAGACGTAATCTCCATGGTATTCATCAAAGTATTTATTCTAAAATGAATATCAGCTAGAATAATTATGATGAACAACATTACTCACGCTACTGCAAAGAAAAGAATAGATCCTCGGCTCTGGAATCCCGCTGTAGTGTCCGGGGTCCTATAAATTGTTACCATAAAATCTCTTACAGACCTGTGGAACCTAGATTATAACTGACCCATAATATACAGATCCAAGTATGAAAGCCATTGCAATGCGACCGATTATAATCGTTAGCAACGGTGATTTGTTGTTCCAGACCCTTCAGTAAAGGTTATTCAGATGTGTTGATGTTAATGACGGAAACACTTACCTCTGGCAAGCTCGTTTAGTACAGAGACCGATCTGCATTGCAGGTGTGATAACATATGCGCTATATTTCTCTTTTCTCCAAGGACTGCGTCCTGCAAAACCTTGGGTCTGTGACTCCTGAAACTGGCTAACCTCATTTCTAAGGTCCCTGTAATCGGCACTGCGTTTCCAATATTCTTCAAACTCCCTCGGCGTTCGAGGTACCACCTCCCCCATGCCTTGCCGAGCTTGGCGAATTTGCGGATTTGTGATCCCAATAAGGAAGTCTGCAGTATTCTGACTAGGCGGTGACCACCATCCCATTTGAATAAAGTAATCCTTTGCTCGGTCACACCGGCCGTAAAATACTTGACGACCTTCATATAACAAGATCACTTTGTCAAAGGTACCGTAAATTGCTTCTGATGCTTGGTCCAAGGACACGATGTGACAACTATATGTGATATTAGCCGAAATGCGTAATGAACTCACAAAATCGGAGACAGTTTTTGCGTCCAATCCCCGTGTACAATGATTCCATGCTTGTATCGGTGCGAGAGACAGAGCCGTTTCGGCGATGCTGACTCTTTTCCTCTCTCCATTGGAAATAGTCTGGTGATATTCGCTTCCAACTGGCATGTTTTCAATAGTGGAGAGGTTGAATACATCCAAGGCTACTTTAGTACACTGTTGGATATGATCACTTCGATTCAAGCCAGCCGAGGTTCTTGCAGCTGCCGCAAACTCCAAGGTTTGACGAACCGTTAACTCTGGCATGTGATAGTCTCTTTCATGGTTATAAACTGTCTTGAGTCGGGCTCCCTTTTGCATATGCTCCATGGAAAGGCCATTATGATGAATTATCGAATCCTCGTGGAGTTTTAGACCTCGTAGTTCACCACAAACGGTCTTAAGGAACGTCGAGCGACCGCTAGAAGGTCTCCCAAGCACCATCAACATCTCTCCACCCGCAAGAAACAATCCAGGTTATGTAAGACATGCTTATAGTTTTCTGAGCGGCCGAAGGGGAAAAGACCCCTAACCCATGATGATAGCATCAAGACCGATGCTATGGTACTCTGCAGCTTCGGCCCTCCATATGGTCTAAATACATTCAGATCCTTGATGATCAAACCGAATTGTGGCGAGCACAGCTCTTCTATATTTAAACTGTGCAGCATATCATGAGCACGTTGCAGCGACTCAGATGCAGCGTTTACAGGAGCTTGTTTGCCATGCCCTCCTGATGGGCAAGCAATTCCTGGGAGTTCATCCCATTCAGAGTGCGGTGACTGATTGTTCATACTGTCTTTCAGCACAATACCATCATGGGTTTTAGGGATCCATTTATCTGGAGTAGTTTGTAGAGATCCATTTCGCAGTTAAAGACGAATTTCAAGATTATATATTGTTGGCAGCGGGTAAGCTACCAGATAGTTAATAGTCTCGGAGTTTTTAAACTTTCAGATGGATACCCATGGTGGCCTAGAACGAGTGGAATTTTTTGAGACTTTATTAATAATGCATTACAAAGCTCTTAAAGTTTAAAAATATTAGGCAATATAGGGGTCAACAGTCTTTTGTCGAACTTTTTTACGCGTTAGAACAAATTGAGTTTAGTGGCAAATTTGGTTGGATTGAGATACAAGCCTGAGTCTGAGCTGCAAAGAACTTATCTATCTAGACGTATTTATATGCGAATATACACTAATATTTGTCATCAGTGGTAAGGTATTGAAAATTGAGCAATGCCAATTTTTGGTATGGCGTTTTAGCGCTATTGATCGTAATTTTGGGCATTTCGAATTTCTTTCCCAATTTGCTTAGTGGCAAATATTCCGGCATTTTTCTAATATCACATGACTGCCCTCCCTGTTTGATAGGGAATGGTCATGTCAGGGTGGGTCCCTGACATGACACAAATTTTTGTCAGATTTGACAAATTTTTCTAGCCTTGCGTCAAGCCCACTTTTGTTAACAAATTTCGCAAGGGGCTATACTATTTACAGTAAAAGAATATTCTCAAATGGCTCATATGACCTATTTATTTTTAAATTCAGCCAATACCTGATGACTAACAATCACTAAGCTATTACCAAGAAATATTCTTAATTTCTATTGGATTATTCATAAACAGGCCAATAAAAACACGTAATTAGGACCCACTTGTCAGGGTATTTCATGAGAAGCAGGCGAACCAGAGGGGGCGAGGCCGAATATAAGGGATCAATTGGCATACAAACTGAACGCTTGAGGTCCGAAGGAACGCTCAGCGTTGAGGCTATCTAAAATACAAGATCAGGCAGCAATAATAAGTGGCTGATCATATCACAGTCTCACTGCCACAATTCCAAATAACGTAATCCACCATCCACCCGCCCACTTCCGCTCGAGAACGCGTTCCATAACAATTCCATATAATTCAACGCGCCAATATGCCACCAATTCGCAAGAAAAACTCTTCAAAATCTGTTGAGATAGAGGGAAAGATCCAATTAGCTATTTCCGATTTTAAAAATGCAAAAATTCAACATATTCGCGAAGCGGCAAGCCTCTATGATATTCCCCGTACGACTCTTCGTGATAGACTTAAAGGCATCACATATAAAGCTGAAAAACGTGCCAATGGGCATAAGCTTTCAGCGAATGAGGAGGAATCACTTATTAAATGGATACTTAATCTAGATAAGTGAGGATTACCTCCTCAGTCTTCACTTGTACGAGATATGGCTAATATTCTTCTTTCTCAACATGGTAATCAACAGATTGGTGAGAATTGGGTTTATCGGCTTGTTAAACGTCGCATTGAGCTCAAATCGCGATTTTCTTGAAGATATAACTATGAGCGTGTTAAATGCGAAGATCTAAAGATAATTTAAAAGTCTTTTAACTGTATATAAAAGACTATATTGCAATATAGCATCTTACTGGAAGATATTTATAACTTTGATAAGACTGATTTTACTATAAGGCTCTATGTGACTGCTAAAATTATAACTAGAAGCGATTGATATAGCAGATCATATCTATTATAATTTAGTAATTGAGAATGGATAATTATAATTAAAGCAGTTAATTCTCTAAATAGGCTTTATGTCAGGGTGCGGCAGACGGATGGGATCGAGGATTGACAATTGACTGGTCAGACCAGACAGACAGGCAGACTGATAAGGTTAGATTCAGAATTAAAGACAAGACATAGCTTAAAGAGCTATAACAGGATTCTTATAGCTAGATAGCTTTTATTAGAGTTATATTAAAATGCAACTATAGTTATATTTAATTAGACTAGAAGAGTAGATCGACAGATTAGATAAACAAGCTAACACTATAACAATACCTCTTCTTTTAAGACTAAGCTCTGTTAAAGTTAGATTCAGGCTTCTGAAGATATTATTAATAAAAGTTAATAATAATTTCTTATACATTTTCCAGATATTTAATAGACTTATTAATTGATTTATTATAGCTATTCTATTTAATGATATACTTCAAATAAGAACATCTATAACCTTATCTTTCTTAATAAGAGTTTAGAATATCTTCTACTTTTTATTTAATTATACTATCAGCTTCAATAAATAAGAGTAATTTCTATTATTATCTAAGAATAGAATTTTTCTCAATAGAATAAAGCAAATTGATATTGAATATTAAATATATTTTTAAACTTATAGATAGATCTAATTAATATATATTTAGATTAATGGTTTTAATAATTATAAAAGGTTCTATATTTTTCTAATCTAGCTTCTTCTATAATTAAAAGATTTAGATATTTCTAATATTTAGTTAGATTTTTTGGTCTATTTAATATTAATAAGTAGATTGATAATATCTATTTATAGTAGTCTTATAGTAAACTTATATAGATAATATTTTAGTTTAAATAAAGTTAATAATTTTTTTTATATGATAAATGAATTCTTTAATATTATAATTAGTAGATTTATTAAAGATTAGGATGGTATTAAATTCTATAACTAGATAGAATCTATAATTAATATAAAATGAAGATATTTTTATAATCTTTAAATAGACTGAGTTGGATATAAATTTAATTAGAGAAAGCTAGTTAGCTTAGTTATCTTATAGATAAGATATATATATATATAAATATTATTTTAAAATTATATTAATATATTTAGTTTGACTATCAGTTTTAAAATAATAGACTATAGATAGTAAAGATATAATTCTTAAATAATAAATTAGATATTTTTAAAATTTATTAATAAATATAGCTTCTTAGTTAGATATTGTCAAAAGTTGTCAACAACTCGTCTCAAGATCAGAGATCTTAGAGGGTATTCTGCTAACACAAAATAAAAGAGTAATGTAAGATCAATATTAGATAGCTATCTATTAAGAATAATAGTAATAGTAAGAGGATTTATTGAATATTAAATAGTAGTATACTATTTAAGATGAAAATAAAAGATGATTAATTAAATATATAATGATAAATAAGTGTCTATATATATTAAAAGATATTAAAGTTATATTTTAATATCTAGAATTATTGCTTTATTATATAGAAGTTATATTTCTATATATTAAAGCTCTGCTTTATTAGATCATATACTTAGTGTATATTAGAATAAGATATTAATATATAATAATTATATTATTATATCAATAGCTATAGTTAAGCTGAAGATATAGCTGTTTTTTAGTATTATTTTTATAATATATAATTATATTTAATAATAATTTTATTTATTATTGCTTAAATCTCATTGAGTACTTATATAATAGTATTTATTATAATATTTATTGGCTATGACTTATTGATTCTTATAATAATCCTCTTCTTTAAAAGCTAGTATTTTGATAGTATAATAAATAGTTAGCTATATCTATATTCTTAAATAAGTGTTTTTATTTTGTAATTTTCTATATTTATAATAATAGTCTAATTATATCTTTAAAGAAATCTTTTTGTATTTAGAAATTAAAATTTACTGATTATTTAAAAGATAAGGATTTTGAGATAATCATTCCTTACATTTATTATATGAATTTATATAAGTCTTATATGATGGTTGAAAGATTTTTTTATTATAATGAATACGCTCATTTAAATTAAAAATGTATTAAATTAAAAACTTCTTTTTTTAATAAAGAGTGATAACGGCTTATAGCTATCTAAAATTAAATTTATATTTAAAAGAAAGAGATTTTTAAAAAACTTTATTATTTAAAGCTGTAGAATGATCTTCTTTAGAAATATATTGATGATTTTATAGTGAGAGATATATAGAATATTATTAAGTTAAAAAGATTAAAAGAGGAAGAGCAAAAAGAAGAAGAGAAAAGGAAATGAGAGAAGAAATAAAAATTAATTGAATAATAAATTAATGAAATAGCTACTGTTACTTTTTAGGCTTATTTTAAATTATCTAAAAATAATTCTTTTGATTTCTTACTTTTTAAGTTCCTTAATGATGGAAGGCTTGAATCTTTTCTAGATAATTTAAATGTCTGATTGGTTTTTATAAATTATGATTAGGTCTGTATTCTGTTTATCTAATTAAATAAAAGATTCTTTTCTATTCTATCTTTTATTTTTTAATGAAGTTGACTTCGAATTTGTCATTATTAACTTTATTTTTATTATTTTTTAGATTTTTTATAGATTCTAATAATAAGATATAAAATATTGAATATATTTTTATTCTTATTAATAATTAGAGTTTATAATTATTATTAATAAATTTTTTTTTAATTTTAAAAGATTTATATTTAATTATATTAAGTTTATTGCTTAATCTCTTACTTAGAATATTAAAATTTTTTTATTTTATAGTTCATTGTAGAAGGTAAACTTTTCTTTCTTTTTTAAGGATTAGTATATTCTTATACTTTCTATTATAATAGGTTTTTATTCTTTGCTCTATCTATTTAATATTTTATAAAATTGTTTAATAGAATGTTTAAAGGTTTTTAGCTTATATTAT